AGCAACCACGTTGGTCTACACACAGCCGGCAGTCAAACGCGAGTTGACCTGGATTCCAGGAGGAAACTGAGGTGACTGTGACGTTTACCACTGGTTCATCTAAAAGTTGAAGTCCAAAACACCTGGAGGGAGGGCCAAAGTTGGCCTCCTTCCTTAGGGATGGTCAGGCACGAGGGTCTTCCTTCTGCCTTCCCGTAAATGCATCCCAAGGCTGTGAAAGGTGAGCAGGAGGAGCTATCTAGGGTTACCTCCTCGTCCTTTAAGCCTGGGACCTCGAATGGTCCCCCGACCTTTAGAAGGGTCTAAATTTAGGGCAAGGCTTTGGCGGAAGGGCCTGGCACCAAATGCAAAAGAGCCAAAGCAAGGACATGAAGGAAGGAAAGGAAGGGATCCTGCCTTGAATGCAAACGCTTGGGGGGAACGCTCTGCCCCGTGCGTGACTCATCCCGGCTTGGCCACCAGCCGCTCTCGTTCCTCCTCGCCAGCCAGCCCCGTGGGTGGGTGGGTTTGGCTGGCATCCTGGGCCATGCCCTGCTATTCAAGAGAAAGCCCTGCAATGAAGCATGATTCACGGGCACGGATGCGGGATCCACGGAGGAGAAGGGGCCCCCGGGCGTGTGGGCCCTTTGCCTGGAGTAAACGCGGAGGAGAGGAGGACGTTGGATCAGGAGGGGCGCCCAGGAAGACGGCCGTGGCGTACTGCCATCCATGCAGCCAGATGGAGAGAGGATGATGCGCGGCTGCACGGATGGAGGCAGCCGTCGCATGTCCCATTTTTAGAAGGCAATTATAGGCAACGGAACGGAGGAGAGCCCAAGGCAGGGCGGACCGCTTTCTAAGAGGAGCATCCCTGCAATGGACCCGTATTGACCTGACTCTCATGCGCCACTGAATCCCATGCGCACCTCCACTTTCAAAACCCTTATAATGTAATGCACAATGGCAAAAAGCGCACTCTTTGTCATTGGGCCCAAAAAGATGTGCCTTGCAATGGCTGTCTGCTTAACAATAACAAAAAGGTCAGGGCACCAAAGTTTCCAGCAAAGGAAAGGAAAACTATGCTGCCGAATGAATGCACTTGGTTCAATGTGGTGGAGTCCTGGGGGGGGGGGGGGGGGTTGGACAAGGTCTTGAGCCTTCTTTGCCAATGAATGCTGGTGCCTCGCCACCAAGATTACCGTATGATGTGAATCATATAAGGCACACCCTGATTTGGGTGAGGTAATTCAGCCAAAAAAGGTGAGCGTTAGATTCAAATAAATATGGATGTCCCACTTTTCCCCCAACAAAGGATCCAAAGCCATTCTCCCAATAATAATAATAACAATAACAACAACAACCAATAATCATCATAATCTATAATAACCCTAAATAATAACCTATAATAATAATAATAATGTTTGACCCACCTTAATAATAATAATAATCTTTAATAAACCTAAATAATAATAATAATAATAATAATAATAATAATAATGTATGACCCACCTCTCCCTGCGGCTCGAAGCAGGATGCAACATCTTAAAATAAGAGATAAAACACTAATAATAATAATAATAATAATAATAATAATGTATTACCTGCCTCTCCCTGCAGCTCGAGGTGACAGATAGACAATAATAATAACAATAATAATAATAATATTAATAATAATAATAATGTATTACCTGCCTCTCCCTGCAGCTTGAGGTGACATATAGACAGTAATAATAATGATGATGATAATAATAATAAATGTATTACTGTCTCTCCCTGCAGCTTGAGGTGACATATAGACAATAATAATAATAATATCCCATTTGGTTGCCATGCAAACATCCAAATGGCAAGCAAGGAGAGCCTGTCTGCATCCCGCATGCCTTGCAGGTTTGCTCTCTTTTAGGGCCATACATTGCATGTCCACCAAAGCCACAGCTCCCCACCTCCCCCTCCCCACCTCCCCCCTGTCAGCCCAGGGCAGTTGAAAAGCCAGCAGTTCAATGCCTTGACCAGGCCAAGCTTAAGAGAGTCACCGTGCATTGGCTGAGCCCCAGGTTCAGATCCTCCCTCTGCCATTGGCAACTCTGGGAAAAGTCTCATTCAAAGCAAACTCACAAGACAGTGGTCATTATAAAGAGTGTACCTTCTATTAATCTGTCTGGCTATCTACCTCTCTCTCTCTCGTATCTACCTCCCAATTAGTTAATCTACTTATCTATCTATCTATCTCCCATCTCATCTATCATCTACCTACCTATCCTATGACCTATCGATCTATCTATCTACTGCACAGTTATCTTATCTACTTCCCATCTAATCTACTATCTATCTATTGCAGAATTATCTATCTGCCTCCCACCTAATCTATCTATCATCTACCTACCTCTCTATCTACCTCTCTATCTATCTCTATCTCTGTATGTATGTATGTATGTATTGCACAGCTATCTTATCTAAACCGCTTTGAGTCCCCCTCAGGGTGAGAAAAGCAGTATACAAATACTGTAAATAAATAAATTATCTATCCGTCTATCTATCTACCTCCCATCTAATCCATCTTCTGCCTACCTATCTTATCTAACAACCTACCATCTAATCTATCTATAATCTATCTATCTATCTATCTATCTATCTATCTATCTATCTATGAATGACACAATTATCTATCTACCTCCTGTCTAATCTATCATCTGCCTACCTATCCTACCCTACCCTATCCTACCTACCTACATATCTTACAGTTATTCTATCTATCTATCTATCTATCTATCTATCTATCTATCTATCTATCTATCTATCTATCTATCTATCTATCTATCTTGCATATCTGCCTCCCAATTATCTAATCTATCTACTACCTACCCTATCTATCTATCTATCTATCTATCTATCTATCTATCTATCTATCTATCTATCTAATCTACCACACAGTTATCTACCTCCCATCTAATCTATCAACTACCTGTCTATTCTATCTACCTATCTATCTACTGCACAGTTATCTATCGATCTACCTCCCATCTAATCTATAATCTACCTATCGTATCTTATCTATCTATCCATCCATCCATCTTGTGCATTTACCTCCCAATTATCTAATCTGTCTATCTGTCATCCATCTATCTATCTATCTATCTATCTATCTAATCTATGACACAATTATCTATCTACCTCCCATCAATCTATCATCTGCCTACCTATCCTATCTACCTACATATCTTACAGTTATTCTATCCATCCATCCATCCATCTATCCATCCATCTTGCGTATCTACCTCCCAATTATCTAATCTATCTACTACCTACCCTATCTATCTAATCTAATCTATCACACAGTTATCTATCTGCCTCCAATCTAATCTATCTACTATCTATCCTATCTACCTACCTACCCATCCATCCTTCCGTCTACTGCACAGTTATCTTACCTATCTATCTACCTCGATAATCAACTATCTATCTATCTATCTATCTATCTATCTATCTATCTATCTATCTATCTATCTATCTATCTATCTATCATCTGCCTACCTACCTACCTACCTACCTACCTACCTACCTACATATCTTACAGTTATTCTATCTATCTATCTATCTATCTATCTATCTATCTATCATCTATCCATCCATCTATCTATCCATCTATCTATCTTGCGTATCTACCTCCCAATTATCTAATCTATCTACTACCTACCTTAGCTATCTACCTATCCTATCTATCTATCTATCTATCTATCTATCTATTTATCTACCTCCCATATAATCTATCATCTACTTATCCTATCTATCTATTGATCAATAGTACAGTTAACAATTATCTATCTATCAATCAACCTCCCATATAATCTATCATCTTCCTATCCTATCCTATATATCGATTGATAGTACAGTTAACTTATTTATTTACCTCTCATTTAATCTTTCCCACCTATTTATTTATCTATTTATCTTGTGCATCTAGTTCCCAATTATCTAATCTTATCTATCTATCTATCTATCTATCTATCTATCTAATTATGACACAATTATCTATCTACCGCCCATCTAATCTATCATCTGCCTACCTATCCTACCTACCTACCTACCTACCTACCTACCTACCTACATATCTTACAGTTATTCTATCTATCTATCTATCTATCTATCTATCTATCTATCATCTATCCATCCATCTATCTATCCATCTATCTATCTTGCGTATCTACCTCCCAATTATCTAATCTATCTACTACCTACCTTAGCTATCTACCTATCCTATCTATCTATCTATCTATCTATCTATCTATCTATCTATCTATCTACCTCCCATATAATCTATCATCTACTTATCCTATCTATCTATTGATCAATAGTACAGTTAACAATTATCTATCTATCAACCTCCCATATAATCTATCATCTTCCTATCCTATCCTATATATCGATTGATAGTACAGTTAACTTATTTATTTACCTCTCATTTAATCTTTCCCACCTATTTATTTATCTATTTATCTTGTGCATCTAGTTCCCAATTATCTAATCTTATCTATCTATCTATCTATCTATCTATCTATCTATCTGTCTGTCTGTCTGTCTGTCTGTCTGTCTGTCTGTCTGTCTGTCTGTCTGTCTGTCCGTCCGTCCGTCCGTCCGTCCGTCCATCCATCCATCCATCCATCTATCTATCTATCTATCTATCTATCTATCTATCTATCTATCTATCTTTCTGTCTGTCTATCTATCTATCTAGCTCTCTATCTATAGATCTGTGCAGTCTTTTTCTTTGCCTGCTTGTGGAATTTCTGCGCCACCTCTCCGCCCACCAAGAACCTCGGAGATGATGTTAGAACAGCTCGGAACATTTCAAATATCAACTGCAGGGATCACGACTTCCCAAACAAATTAAAGCACGCCTGACAAAAAGTCGTGCGAAAACTCTGCCGGGCCCTCCTTCCCCCCTCCCTCCCCCCTCCCTCCCCCTGGGCCAAAGAAGGGGGGGGGCGTGCCTGCTCCTGGTGGACCCTGGCTATAAAGGGCCGAGTCCAGCCCCTCCGGCCACTGTCCGCAGCTCCAGCAGACAGACACAAGCCCCCCCAGAGAGCCCCAGGAAACAGCAGCAGAAGAAAGCAAGCAAGTGAGTGTATGGAGAGACCCCAGCATCTAGCACAGGCATGGGCAAACTTGGGCCCTCCCTCCAGGTGTTTTGGACTCCAACTCCCACCATTCCTAACAGCCTCAGGCCCTTTCCTTTTGCCCCTCAGCCGCTTAAGCGGTATCGTGTGTTCAAGTGCATCTAAACTGTTGTATGAATGCAGTTTGGTACCACTTAAACTCCCATTGCACAATGCTATGGGATTCTGGAGTTTTGTGCTTGCAAGAGTCTCCTCCAGCGCTGACCTTTCCCAGCTCTTTACCGAAAGAGAGCAGCAGGCAAGGAGGGGGGGGTCTATATTTAGCCTTGGCAGCTGCCCTTCTGCCTCCTGGGGAATGCAGGCCCAGGAGGACTATTTGGGGGATCTCTTCGAGTCTCTATGGGGGGAAATAAGGGGGAAGAGACCTCCTCCTCGGACCCCCCACTTGACCCTCTCGTTCTCTCTGTCTCTCCACAGCCATGTCTATCCAGAAGATCCACGCCAGGGAGATCCTCGACTCCCGGGGCAACCCCACCGTGGAGGTGGACCTGCACACCGGCAAAGGTCAGTCTCCGTTGGCAGCCAGCAAGCAAGTGGGCACCTTGTCCTTTCCTTTTTGGGGTCAGCCATTGTGCCCCCCATTGTGCCCCCCAAGCCAGTCCCTTCAAGGTCAAGCCAGTTCTTTGCTGCAGGCAGATGGTATTTGAGGCACAAGTTCCAATGGATCATCTGAGCAACGGTGTTGTGCCTCTTCTTGGAGTCTGTCTCTGCAATCTTCTTGCAGCAGCTGAGGATGGGATCTCTTGTTTCATCTGCTTCCTTGCAGAGTCTACACTTGGATTATTATTATTATTATTATTATTATTATTATTATTATTATTATGTTTATTTATACCCCGCTTTATCTCTCCTGCAGGAGACCCGAAGCGGCTTAACGTAAAAGTTTGTTTTTGTTTATTGTTCAGTGGCTTCTGACTCTTAGTGACCTGGACCAGCCCAGGCCAGATCTCCCTGTTGGCCGTGGCCACCCGCAGCTCCTTCAAGGTCAAGCCAGTCCCTTCAAGGTCAAGCCAGTTGTTTGTCGCAGGCAGATGGCATTTGTGGCACAAGTTCCAATGGATCATCTGAGCAACGGTGTTGTGCCTCTGCTTGCAGTGTGTCTGTGTGATCTTCTTGCAGCAGCTGAGGATGGGATCCGTTGTTTCATCTGCTTCCTTGCAGAGTCTACACTTGGGATCATTATTATTATTATTATTATTATTATTATTATTATTATTATTATTATTACCCCTCATTATTAGTGACCTATGAGGCTTGACAAAGGAGCAGCGGGTGGCCATGGCCTGGTCTGGTCCATGAGGTCACAAAGAGTCAGAAGCAACTGAACAGATAAACAACAATTATTATTTGTACGCCTTGTTGTCCTGCAGCCACACTTCTCCTTTGAAGGACATCCATGGGATCCATAAATCTTACATTCATAGAATCATAGCATAGTTGGAAGCGATGGAGTCCAGCCCCCCAAGAAAAAGCACAAAGCACCTGGTTTGCATTATTGTTGTGAAATGGTGGCGGACAAGTCCCAGTCCTTCTTGAGATCAGTGAAGGGTTTGATGAGCAATGTCAGTATGTCCGTCTCGGCCAGTTTGGAGACCTTCACCATCCGTTCTTCTTGCATTGGGATGAGGGGTTCCTTCCATCTCTGTACATAGAGCATTCTCACTGCAGTTATCATATATTGTAGCAAGTCCCACTCTTTCTTGAGATCGATGAAGGGTTTGATGAGCACCGTCAATGTGTCCGTCTTGGCCAGTTTGTAGACCTTCACCATCCGTTCTTCTTGCATTGGGATGATGGGTTCCTTCCATCTCTGCGCATAGAACATTCTCACTGCAGTTATCATATATCATAGCAAGTCCCAGTCTTTCTTGAGACCGGTGAAGGGTTTGATCAGCACCGTCAATGTGTCTGTCTTGGCCAGTTTGTAGACCTTCACCATCCGTTCTTCTTGCATTGGGATGATGGGTTCCTTCCATCTCTGCGCATAGAGCATTCTCACTGCAGTTATCATATATCATAGCAAGTCCCAGTCTTTCTTGAGACCGGTGAAGGGTTTGATCAGCACCGTCAATGTGTCCGTCTCGGCCAGTTTGCAGGCCTTCGCCATCCGTTCTTCCTTCTTGCTTTGGGATGATGGCTTCCATCTCTGCGCATAGAGCATTCTCACTGCAGTTATCATATATCATAGCAAGCCCCAGTCTTTCTTGAGATCGGTGAAGGGTTTGATCAGCACCGTCAATTTGTCCATCTCGACCAGTTCGCAGACCTTCACCATCTGTTCTTCCTTCTTGCGTTGGGATGATGAGTTCCTTCCATCTCTGCGCATAGAGCATTCTCACTGCAGTTATCATATATCGTAGCAAGTCCCAGTCTTTCTTGAGATCGATGAAGGGTTTGATCAGCACTGTCAATTTGTCCATATCGGCCAGTTCGCAGACCTTCGCCATCCGTTCTTCTTGCATTGGGATGATGGGTTCCTTCCATCTCTGCGCATAGAGCATTCTCACTGCAGTTATCATATATTGTAGCAATTCCCATGTTTTCCTTCTAACTCAGTGGTTCTCAACCTTCCTAATGCTGTGACCCCTTAATACAGTTACTCATGTTGTGGTGACCCCAACCATAAAATTATTTTCGTTGCTACTTCATAAGTGTAAGTTTGCTATTGTTATGAATCATAATGTAAATATCTGATATGCAGGATGCATTTTCATTCACTTGACAATATTTGGCACAAATACCCGATACACCCAAATTTGAATACTGGTGGGATTGATGGAGGGGCTTGATTTTGTCATTTGGGAGTTATAGTTGCTGCGATTTATAGTTAACCTGCAATCAAAGAGCACTCTGAACTCCACCAGCGATGGAATTGAACCAAACCTAGCACCCAGAATGCCCATGACCAACAGAAAAATACTGGAAGGGTTTGGTGGGCATTGACCTTGAGTTTGGGAGTTGTGGTTCACCTACATCTGGAGAGCACTGTGGACTCAAACAAAGATGGATCTGGACCAAACATGGCACAAATCCTCAAGATGCCCAAATGTGAACACTGGTGGAGTTTGGGGAATATAGACCTTGACATTTGGGAGGTGTAGTTGCTGGGATTTAGCGTTCACCTACACTCAAAGAGCATTCTGAACCCCACAAATGGTAGAATTGGGTCAAACCTCTCATACTGTGTTTTCTGATGATCTTTGGTGACCCCTCTGACACCCCCTCACAACCCCCTCAGGGGTCCCAACCCCCAGGTTGAGAAACACTGTTCTAACTGATCACTTGCCACTCTCGCTGTCATTATTGTTCATGACATTATAATAATCATCCTCTCTCCCCTTTGCTCTTTCTCCAGGCCGTTTCCGTGCCGCGGTGCCCAGCGGGGCCTCCACTGGCATCTATGAGGCCCTGGAGCTGCGGGACGGGGACAAGGCCCGCTACCTGGGCAAAGGTGAGGCTACCTGCCGAGGGGGAGGAGGAGGAGGAGGAGAGGGCCCAGAACTAAGAGAAGGCCCTTCTCAGTCGTTTGCAAGACTCCTGATGTCATAGTAATTTACAGGCTCTAACGCAGGCATGGGCCAACCTCGGTCCTCCCTCTGTTTTGGACTCCAACTCCCACAACGTGGGTATGCAGATGATCCCTAGATTGACTTCAGTGCCTGATTCCAAGAGGGAAAAGGCATGGGCCAACTTGGGCCCTCCCTCCAGGTGTTTTGGACTTCAACTCCCACAATTCCTAACAGCCTACCGGCTGTTAGGAATTGTGGGAGTTGAAGTCCAAAACACCTGGAGGGAGGGCCCAAGTTGGCCCATGCCTTTACTATGGGAATGCTTCTTTGGCCTGACTTGCCTACTACAATCCTTGCCCTTTCTTTCCTTTGGAGGCTGCAAAGTCTTCTTTCTCAAGGCTCGGCGCTTAAGTGAACACAGGGTTGGACATTGAGTCGTTTTGTAGGAAAAATAAGAGTATTTGTTGGAGGGTGCAAAACTCTCCCAATAGATAACACCCATGAGTAGGACCTATGGCTTCCATGGCTTCTGCTGGGTTGAGCAACTAATAGTAATCAATAGGCCTGTTCAATCCATGGTTCGAAATGGTTCTAAAGTACTTACAAAACTAAAGTTCTGGTGGTGAAAATTTCGGAACTCTTAACAAAACTCTCAAAATTTCATTATAAATGGCAGTTCCTAATTGGTTCTCTCATAAAAATTGCCAATAATGAAATAATAATTAAATTTTGAAAGAGTTCTGAAATTTTCACCACCAGAAGTTTAGTTTTGTAAGAACTTTAGAACCATTTAGAACCATGGATTGCCCAGGCCTAGTAATCAATATAAGTAATAGTATAATATACTGGTAGTGTGTGTATGTGTGTATATATATATATATATATACTACTAATAATACGATGTTAAAATTATATATAATAGTATATTATAATTATATATTTTATATTACATGTAATATTACTGTTAATATTACAGTATAATGGTATAGTACAGTATAGTAATACATAATACTAGTATTGTACTATGGTAATAATATAATATATTCTAAGCTGAAGAGCTGGCATTGTCCACAGACACTTCAAGGTCATGTGGCCGGCATGACTACATGGAATGCCATTTCCTTCCCGCTGGGGTGGTACCTATTGTGCTAATAATATAATATAATATAATATAATATAATATAATATAATATAATATAATATAATATATTGTGTATACATATAATTTTGATAATATTATGTGATACAATATAATACTGCTAATAATACAATATTATAATTATATATAATAATACAATATTATAATTACATATTTTATTTTACACAATTATATATTTTATTATTAGCACAATGGTATCTATTGTGCTAATAATATAAAATAAGATAACATTGTGTATACATATAATTTCGATAATATTATGTGATACAATATAATACTACTAATAATACAATATTATAATGATATATTTTATCACAATTATATATTTTTATTATTAGCACAATGGTACCTATTGTGCTAATAATATAACGTAATATAACATAATATAATATATTGTGTATACATATAATATTGCTAAAATTATGTGATACAGTATAATACTACTAATAATACAATATTATAATTATATATTTTGTCTTATTGATAATGTTGTGTATTTTATTGTCTATGTTTTTTAATTGCTTGTATTGTTGTTATTATTGCTTGTATTGTTGTGTTTGGGTTCGGCCTCACGTAAGCTGCACCGAGTCCCTTGGGGAGATGGTAGTGGGGTACAAGTAAAGTTTTTTTTTTATTATTATTATTATTATTATTATTATATATTACACAATTATATATTTTATTATTAGCACAATGGTACCTATTGTGCTAATAACATAACATAACATAACATAACATAACATATTGTGTATACATATAATACTGATAATATTATGTGATATAATATAATACTACTAATAATACAATATTATAATTATATATAATACAATATTATAATTATATATTTTATATTACACAATTATATATTTTATTATTAGCACAATGGTACCTATTGTGCTAATAATATAATATAACAACATAACATATTGTGTATACATATAATTTTGATAATATTATGTGATACAATAAAATACTACTAATACTACAATATTATAATTATATATAATAATACAATATTATAATTATATATTTTATATTGCATGTAATATTACTGTTAATATTTCAGTATAATGGTATAGTACAATATAGTATTATTATTATTATTATTATTATTATTTATTTATTTATACCCCGCTACCATCTCCCCAAGGGACTCGGTGCGGCTTACATGAGGCCGAGCCCACAATACATCAATACAAGCAATAACAACCGTAAAACAAATTAAATAAAACTCATAACAAAAAAGCAATATACAATGACAATAATACAACACACAATTAAATACTAATAATATAATATAACATTTGGCTGGGCCAAATGCAATTAAAGGTAAAAATAATGCTAGGCATGAATAAGGTAGGAGAGATGGGTAATAATATAATATATATGGTAATAATATAATATATTATATTTACATAATTACATATTGAACGTGGAACAGTGTTAAAAATAAGAAGCAGTCCGAAGCCTTTCTCTCCATCCCCTCCTCAACACTCAATGCTCATTTTCAGTCCTGGCTTCTCCCCATTGTCTGGGACCTCCCTAATAAACAAGGCCCATTTCTGCCCCATTGGCTTCATCTGTCCATCCTTCTGCTTCCTGCTTTTGGGATAGATCTCCCCCAGTTTGACCCATAAGTCTACCTTATTGTGGAATGGGCGGAGTGGGGGGCTTCTCCTTGGGTGACCCTTTTGTCTTTCCACTTAGGGGTGCTGAAAGCCGTGGAGCACATCAACAAGACCATCGCTCCCGCCCTGATTGAGAAGGTGAGTGGGGGGCTTGCAGGGCAATCGAGGGGTGCCTTGAGCACCATTTTGGGGACCCCCAGAACCAGAACCAGCAAGCATCACCAATTTGGTCAGCCAGAACCAGTGCAAATCTCTCCAAACTAGTTGACAGCCTCATTGTGGACACCCAAATGGGTGGGTCTGAGGTGACCCCTGCGGGGTCACCTCAGACCCACCCATTTGGGTGTCCACAATGAGGCTGTCCCCCCTCGATTTCCTCCCACAAATTTTGGAGTGGAGAATTGCATTTGGCATCATCCAAAAACCAGAATTTGGCATCACCACCTCCCCAGCGCCGAGCTTTCAAGAACAACACAGCGAACCCAGCGGGTTTCCATCTTGTGTGCCAGATCTCAGCCGCAAGACGGTCCTTGGCGCTCTCTCTGCGGCTGCAACTTCTGAGAAATCCAGCACAGACAGGCAAAACTCACCCCCTTCTTTTCCTTCCCTTCCCCACTTCCTTTGCTAGAAAATCAGCGTAGTCGAGCAGGAGAAGATCGACAAGATCATGATCGACTTGGACGGGACGGAGAACAAGTGTAAGTGGGACGGCGGGCTTCCCTCAGTCCAGGCGCTACAAACTACAGACTGGAATCATGTTGGCCTTGTTCGCTGCTGCATCCCACTTCTGGCTCACACTCAACTAAGATTCCGAGATCCCTTTTGCATGTGCTATTGATTGCTCAATCTGGACACTAGACTCCTACCGATGCAGACTAGGATTGATTGCATTGGCCTTTTTTGTTGCCACGTCACACTATAGTAGGCTCATGTCAACCTTATGGTCTCCTTAGTCTACTTTTGCATGTACTGTGGTCAAGCCATAGGTCACCCCTCAATATAGGTCACCCCTCAACACTATAGTAGGCTCATATATAACCTTATGGTCTGCTTAGTCTCCTTTTGCATGTACTGTGGTCAAGCCATAGGTCACCCCTCAAGACCAAAATATTTTTATTTATTTGTTTATTTACAACATTGATTGCATTGGCCTTTTTGTTGCCACGTCACACTATAGTAGGCTCACGTACAACCTTATGGTCTGCTCAGTCTCCTTTTTCATATACTGTGGTCAAGCCATAGGTCACCCCTCAAGACTAAAATATTTTTATTTGTTTGTTTATTTACAAATTTATTTATTTGCATTGGCCTTTTTTCTTACGTCACACTATAGTAGGCTCATGTCAGCCACATGGTCTTCTTAAGTCTCCTTTTGCATGTACTGTGGTCAAGCCATAGGTCACCCCTCAAGACCAAAATATTTTTATTTATTTGTTTATTTACAACATTTCTACCCCGCCCTTCTCACTCAGAGCAGATAACACTGGCGACAATTCGATGCCGCAATATCACAAAAAAAAAACAATAATATAAAGCCATATGGCTTTAAACTTCAGAAAAGGAGATTCCTTCTGAACATGAGGAAGAACTTCCTGACTGTGAGAGTTGTTCAGCAGTGGAACCCTCTGCCCCGGAGTGTGGTGGAGGCTCTTTCTTTGGAAGCTTTGAAACAGAGGCAGGATGGCCATCTGTCAGGGGTGTTTTGAATGCGATTTTCCTGCTTCTTGACTTCAAACTACAAGAAAGGAGATTCCATCTGAACATGAGGAAGAACTTCCTGACTGTGAGAGCCGTTCAGCAGTGGAACTCTCTGCCCCGGAGTGTGGTGGAGGCTCCTTCTTTGGAGGCTTTTAAACAGAGGCTGGATGGCCATCTGTCAGGGGTGATTTGAATGCAATATTCCTGCTTCTTGCTTCAAACTACAAGAGAGGAGATTCCATCTGAACATGAGGAAGAAATTCCTGACTGTGAGAGCCGTTCAGCAGTGGAACTCTCTGCCCCGGAGTGTGGTGGAGGCTCCTTCTTTGGAAGCTTTTAAACAGAGGCTGGATGGCCATCTGTCAGGGGTGTTTTGAATGTGATTTTCCTGCTTCTTGACTTCAAACTATAAGGAAGGAGATTCCATCTGAACATGAGGAAGAACTTCCTGACTGTGAGAGCCGTTCAGCAGTGGAACTCTCTGCCCCGGAGTGTGGTGGAGGCTCCTTCTTTGGAAGCTTTTAAACAGAGGCTGGATGGCCATCTGTCAGGAGTGTTTTGAATGCAATATTCCTGCTTCTTGGCAGAATAGGGTTGGACTGGATGATGGCCCAGGAGGTCTCTTCCATCTCTAGGATTCTATAAATACACAATAGATTAAAAACAATAACATTAATTATACGATCCTAGCTGTTTCCATTCTCGTAACAATCTCCATATGGTCCACTTCAATGTCCAAAGTGCTGTTTATACCTGTTCCAAAACTACGATTTCAGTTTTTTCCTAAAGGAAAGGAGGGAGGATAGTAATAATAATAATAATAATAATAATAATAATAATAATAATCTTTATTTATACCCCGCCACCATCTCCCCAGTGGGGACTTGGAGCGGCTTACATGGGGCCAAGCCCAGACAACACATTACAGCGGAATAAAACCGAAAACATAAACAACAAACAACATCATCAACATTACATAGAAAAAAAAACCAAAAACAAAAAACATTCCAATAAACACAGTCACGATAATAGTGGGCGGTCCACCTGTACAGGATAAAGCAATTAAAAGACTCTAATGAGATCAAAATAGGAGCAGGTTATGCCAATCTAATCCTGTCCATCGTCCCCACCAGATGCGTTTGCGAGGCCGGTGAGACTGAGAGCAGGGCCTCCCCAGTGGATCTTAAACTACGAGGTAGATACATTCAGACAAGTAAGCAGGGCTGGAGCCATATAGGGCTTTATACACCAAAACCAGCACTAGGCTCCTATGGATGCAGCATTGGCCTTTTTTTTTTGCTGTTGCATCACATTGTTGGCTCATGTTCAACTTGTGGTCCACTCAGATCCCATTTGCGTGGACTGGTGTCAAGGCATATACTATTTTACATCTCCCAATTGAGATACTTTTGAATGCAGCCTAGGATCGCATTGGCCTTTTGAGCTGCTGCACCGCACTGCTGGCTCATGTTCAACTTGTGGTCCACCAAGACTCTTGGATTGAAGAGTCTTAGTGGACCACAAGTTGAACATGAGCCAGCAGTGTGGTGCAGCAGCTCAAAACGCCAATGCAATCCAATAAATCCCTTTTGCATGGATATTGTCCAGCCATATACAATATTAAATCTCTCCTGATTGAGACACTGTTGGATGCAGCTGAGGATCGCATTAGTCTTTTACGCTGCTGCACCACACTCTTGGCTCGTGTCCAGTTTGTGGTCTCTTAGCTCCCTTTTGCATGGACAATTGTCACGCCATATCCTGTATTACATCTCTGGATGGAGACACTAGACACCGATGGCTGCAGCATTGGCCTTGTTGCTCTGCTGGCTCACACTGCTGGCTCACATTCAGCTTGTGGTCCACAAAGACTCTTGTATTACATCTCTCCTGATTGAGACACTGTTGGATGCAGCCTAGGATCGCATTGGCCTTTTACGCTGCTGCACCACACTCTTGACTCATGTCTGGCTTGTGGTCTCTTAGCTCCCTTTTGCATGGACAATTATTTATTACTTATTTATTTACGACATTTATACTATAACATTATACTGTAATATTATTAGTAATATTACATTTAATATAAAGTATATAACTATAATATCATTTTATTAGTAGTAGTATATTGTATTACATTATAATATTATCATGCCATATCCTGCATTACATCTCTGGATGGAGACACTAGACACCGATGGCTGCAGCATTGGCCCTGTCAGCTGCTGCATCACACTTCTGGCTCATATTCAGCTTGTGGTCTTCTAAGACTCCTAGTTCCCTTTCCCATGGACTGTTTTCAAGCCATAGGACACTCCTGAATCCGGACACTAGACTCCTATGGATGCAGCATTGGCCTTTTTTGCTGCTGCACCACGCTCTTGGCTCATGTCCGGCTTAGTTCCCTTTGGCTGGATGATTGTCACACCATATCCTGCATTACATCTCTGGATGGAGACACCAGACACCGATGGCTGCAGCATTGGCCTTGTCAGCTGCTGCATCACACTGCTGGCTCACATTCAGCTTGTGGTCCACAAAGACTCTTTGCTCCTTTTTACATGGACTATTCTCAAGCCATATACTGTTGGATGCAGCCTAGGATTGCATTGGCCTTTGTCGCTGCTGCACCATGCTCTTGGCTCATGTCCGGCTCCCCTTTGCATGGATCATTGTTACATCATATACCATATTGCATCCCCAGACTCTTCGCTCCCTTTTGTGTGTACTATTGTCAAGGCATATACTATAGTTCTCCTCCCAAGTTAGATACTTTTGGATGCAGCCTAGGATCGCTTTAGCCTTTGTTGCTACTGCACCACGCTCTTGGCTCATGTCCGGCTTGTGGTCTCTTAGCTCCCTTTTGCATGGACAATTGTCACACCATATACTGTACTAGCCGTCCCCTGCAACGCGTTGCTGTGGCCCACATGGGGGTTCTGTGTGGGAAGTTCAGCCCAATTCTATTGTTGGTGGGGTTCAGAATGCTCTGTGATAGTAGGTGAACTATAAATCCCAGCAACTACAACTCCCAAATGTCAAGATTCTGGCAGTCTGCCACACTGGCAGTCTTCAGAAAGAACTTGAAGACTTGGCTCTTCCGATGCGCCTTCCCAGATTAGGAAATCTCCACTACCAAGTCCCGTAAGCACCTTATCAGAACCAATGACTGCTGCACATCGCACTTGCCCTTGAAGCCTCATATACACCTCCTGTCACATCAGCACTTTTAATTCTTGTACCCATCACTTTGGCCTGGCCCAGTTCTTATTGTGTTTTAGTGTATTGCTTTTGCCTGTTGTTTATTTGCTTTATCCTGTTTTTAATTGTTTGATTTGCCTAGTTTGTATTGCTATATTGTGTGTTGAGGCCTCGGCCTGTGTAAGCCGCATCGAATCCTTCGGGAGATGCTAGCGGGGTACAAATAAAGTTTAATAATAATAATAATAATAATAATACTAAAGATTCTATTTTCCCAAACTCCACCAGTGTTCATATTTGGGCATACTGAGTATTCGTGTAGAGTTTGGATAAGATCCATCATTGTTTGAGTCCACAGTGGTCTCTGGATGGAGGTGAACTACAACTCCAAAACCAAAGGACACTGCCCACCAAACCCTTCCAGTATTTTCTGTTGGTCATGGGAGAACTGTGTGCCAAGTTTGGTTCAATTCCTTCGTTGGTGAGGTTCAGAATGCTCTTTGATTGTAGGTGAACTATAAATCCCTGCAACTACAACTCCCAAATGACAAAATCATTTTTTTGAGTGAAGGACATACATTGGGTTGTTAGGTGTCTTGTGTCCAAATTTGGTGTCAATTCGGCCAGCGGTTTGTGAGTTCTGTTAATCCCACAAACGAACATTACCTTTTTATTTATATAGATTACATCTCCAGCTCATATTCAGCTTGCAGTCTACCCAGAGTTCTTAGTTCATTTTGACATAGACTATGTTTCCCTCTCTTCTGCAGCCAAGTTTGGGGCCAACGCCATCCTGGGGGTCTCCCTGGCCGTTTGCAAGGCCGGCGCGGCCGAGAAGGGGGTCCCCCTCTACCGCCACATTGCGGACCTGGCCGGCAACAAGGAGCTCATCCTGCCCGTCCCGGTGAGTGAGTGACCAACCGACGCGGGAGGGAAGGGGGAGGCATTGCACGGGGTGGAGCCGGGCAACGCATGGACTTCCTTTGGGGTGCCCAAAAGGACGTGACGCGAAGCCCCACATGCACCCCCCCTCCCCGTTCGCAGGCCTTCAACGTGATCAACGGGGGCTCCCACGCGGGGAACAAGCTGGCCATGCAGGAGTTCATGATCCTGCCGGTGGGGGCCAGCACCTTCAAGGAGGCCATGCGCATCGGGGCTGAGGTCTACCACAACCTGAAGGCCGTCATCAAGAGCAAGTACGGGAAGGACGCCACCAACGTCGGGGACGAGGGTGGATTCGCCCCCAACATCCTGGAGAACAACGAAGGTGGGCCCCTCTCCTTCTCTTTCCTCCTTGAAAGGGATCGGGGCCCTTCTCGGGTCAATGAGACGAAAGGGGTTGTGTTTCATGGCACTTGGGCCTCTTATCTATCCGGGTGCCCTTTAAATGTTGGGCCCAGAATTAGCTCAGAGGCTGTAATTGGAGCCCCAGGAAGAAAGGCCAAAGGGAAGCCGCTCTGCAGGATGCCAGGAAGGGCGCCTTGCCCTCCAGACAAGACAAGCAGTGGGGACGAGGGAGGGTCCGGGTCCGTCTCGGCCTCCCATCGTCAAGTTGGAGAGATGATAGGTCTCCCTCACTGTCCCCACTTCGTGCCTGCACCCACCACCATTCCTTAGCCTATGCCTTGAGGGAACCAGCTGGTATACATTTGGGGACCGTCCATACCCCATCCTCAATTTCCCACCATTAGAGACATCTAATGGCTGAGAGGCTGCACTCTGCACATGCTCAGAAGCCACTTCTCCTGTTGCTGGGGATCCCTACCTTCCATGAGTGCCTGAAACAGTGTAGAAGGATATGTTCTCTTAGTGTAGGCATGAGCCAACTTTGTCCCTCCTTCCAGATGTTTTGGACTCTGACTCCCACCATTCCTCACAGCCTCAGGCCCCTTCCTTTTCCCCCTCAGCCACTTAAGCTAGATGACAGAGTGATAGATCTAAAAGATGCCTACCTTCATAGCCGACCTAAAAGATGGTGACCTAAAAGATGCCTACCTTCATATCCCAACAAATAGATATAATGCCTAAGCGGCTGAGGGGGAAAAGGAAAGGGCCTGAGGCTGTGAGGAATGATGGGAGTTGGAGTCCAAAACATCTGGAAGGAGGGCCGAAGTTGGGGACTAGGTGGACCACATCTTGCCTCGAGGAGACCTGGTGGAATGCATTTGGGGCCCCACAATGAGACCATCCATGCCCCATCCTCGATTTCCCACCATTTAGAGATGTCTAATGACTGAGAGGCTGCACTCTGCGCATGCTCAGAAGCCCCTTTTCCTGTTGGTGGTGCCTGGGATAAATATGGGTTGCTTACCTGGAACCGTAGTTCCCCGTCATGGTCCCTGTGAATCGCACATACGGTCATTTCCGAGAGAACAGCTTTTCCTTAGTCGGTGAAAAAGGAAGGGGCAGCTCATTGGGATAGATGGGGGTCCAAGGGCCCCAATGCACGCCCTGGTTCATCTGTGAGGCATGGCCAAGGGAAAGGCTCAAAGGCCAATGGAGAAGAAAACTCATTGCACAACCCTGTCCCCTTCTGTAATACCCTAGGTTTTATATAGCAATATTAAATGACCACTCACAAGCCGGTTTTGCTTGGAAATGGATCTATTGCTTGTATCTCTGCAGCAAAGAAAGTCACTACTGCCTTTTCCCCACCACCACTTCCTTTTATACACCTTTCCTGCCCATCTCCCCCTCTTCTCAGTTTCCTTAGAGCTTGTTGCTTCACAGAGAGAAAAGGCAGCCAGGATGATTCAGTCAGGATGTTACGGAGGGAATTTGTGATGTCTTCATGCCGTCAGAAACTGACTCCTGACACCTTCTTCAATACGATATTTAAACCTGGCTCTCCAGTTCCCTCTTCACCATCAGGAAGCCCTTCTTCTCGTTTAGGCGGAGTCTCGTTTTCCTGCAATGGGAATGAATCCATGCCCCCTCCATTGCCTCCCATTCTCTGAAGCAGCAGAGAACAAGGTTGTTGTGAGCTTTCCAGGCTGTATAGCCATGTTCCGGAAGCACTCTCTCCTGACGTTTCGCCTGCATCTACGGCAGGCATCCTCAGAGGTTGGGAGGAGAAACGTCAGGAGAGAATGCTTCTGGAACATGGCCAGACAGCCCGGAAAGCTCACAACAACCCATGAAAGCCGTTGACAATACAGAAAAAGCTTCTTGCCCCCTTTTATCCCCAATGGAAGCTTTCCTTCCTAGTGGGGGCTGGATTGGATGACCCCTGGGAGACCCCTTCTATCTAAGGGGTCGATGGATTGGGAGGAATGCCCAAGTGGCCTGCCAAACACTATGTAAACATGTATTGTCGAAGGCTTTCATGGCTGGAATCACTAGGTTCTTGTGGGTTTTTTGGGGCTATATGGCCATGTTCTAGAGGCATTTTCTCCTGACGTTTCGCCTGCATCTATGGCAAGCATCCTCAGATGTAGTGTAAACAGTTTTTGTTCCTAGCTCATCAGTCATGTCTTAATGAGTTCTAGCACAAAAACTATTGAACTGCAAAAACTTTTGTGCGAGAGGGACATCTGGCAAGACCTTTTGCCATAGTTTTTCCATGAGTATCTGATAGAGCAGGCACTGGCCGACTTCGGCCCTCCCTCCCGGTGTTTTGGACGTAAGATGCCCATAACATGGGTATGCAGGTGATCCCTTGATTTACTTAAGTGTCCGGTTCCAAAAGGACAAAAGCATGGGCCAACTTAGGCCCTCCCTCTAGGTGTTTTGGACTTCAACTCCCACCATTCCTAACAGCCTCGGGCCCCTTCCTTTTGCCCCTCAGCCGCTTAAGCTAGATGATAGCGATAGACCTAAAAGATGCCTACCTTCATATCTCAACAAATAGATCTAACGCTTAAGCGGCTGAGGGGGAAAAGGAAAGGGCCTGAGGCTCTTAGGAATGGTGGGAGTTGGAGTCCAAAACACCTCGAGGGAGGGCCCAAGTTGGCCCATGCCTGTGCACCCGCCCCGTACTTATTTCCTCCCGTCCTTTCCTCTTGTCCAGCGCTGGAGCTTCTGAAGAGCGCCATCGAGAAGGCCGGCTACCCGGACAAGATCGTCATCGGGATGGACGTGGCGGCCTCCGAGTTCTTCCGCAAAGGCAAATACGACTTGGACTTCAAGTCCCCCGACGACCCCAACCGCTACATCTCCGGGGACAAGCTGGGCGAGCTCTACCAGAGCTTCATCAAGAACTACCCTGGTGAGTGAGTCCCTGGCGGACCCCCACCCACAAGACCTGGTTGGAATCCAGGGCTCAGCCCCAGGGGAATATTCAGACCCACCACCCTCCCTGTCTTCCTCAGAGGCACGCTCTGTGTATGTTCAGGAACACAGAACCTCCTAAACCCCCTCCCCACATTTGCCCAGGACCCTCCAGTCTCCCTATCTTCTCCAGAGGAGCACTCTGTGTATGTTCAGGAACACAGACCCCCTGAGCCCCCTCCCCACATTTGCCCAGGACCCACCAGCCTCCCTATTTTCCCCAGAGGAGCACTCTGTGTATGTTCAGGAACACAGACCCCCTGAGCCCCCCCCCCACCTTTTCCCAGGAGCCTCCACCCTCCCTGTCTTCCTCAGAGGCACGCTCTGTGTATGTTCAGGAACACAGAACCTCCTAAACCCCCTCCCCACATTTGCCCAGGACCCTCCAGTCTCCCTATCTTCTCCAGAGGAGCACTCTGTGTATGTTCAGGAACACAGACCCCCTGAGCCCCCTCCCCACATTTGCCCAGGACCCACCAGCCTCCCTATCTTCCTCAGAGGCGCACTCAGTGTGTTTTCAGGAACACAGAACCTTCTAAACCCCCTCCCCACATTTGCCCAGGACCCTCCAGTCTCCCTATTTTCCCCAGAGGAGCACTCTGTGTATGTTCAGGAACACAGAGCACCTAAACCCCCTCCCCACCTTTTCCCAGGACCCTCCAGCCTCCCTATCTTCACCAGAGGAGCACTCTGTGTGTTCAGGAACACAGACCCCGAGCCCCCTCCCCACCTTTTGCCAAGACCCTCCAGTCTCCCTGTCTTCCTCAGAGGCACACTCTGTGTATGTTCAGGAACACAGAACCTCCTAAACCCCCTCCCTACATTTGCCCAGGACCCTCCAACCTCCCTATCTTCATCAGAGGGATGCTCTGTGTATGTTCAGGAACACTGACCCCTCCGAGCCCCCTCCCCACATTTGCCCAGGACCCACAACCCTCCCTATCTGCCCCAGAGGCGCACTCTGTGTATGTTCAGGAACACAGACCCTCCCTGAGCCCCCTCCCCACCTTTTCCCAGGACCCTCCAGCCTCCCTATCTTCCCCAGAGGCATACTCTGTATATGTTCAGGAACACCGACCCCCTGAGCCCCCTCCCCACATTTGCCCAGGACCCAACAGCCTCTCTATCTTCACCAGAGGCACGCTTTGTGTGTGCTCAGGAACACAGACCCCCTGAGCCCCCTCCCCATCATTTCCCAGGACCCTCTAGCCTCTCTATCTTCCCCAGAGGCATGCTCTGTGTATGTTCAGGAATAGACCCCCCTGAGCCCCCCCCCCCCATTTGCCCAGCTGTGGGTTCAAGAGAGACAGTGAGGAAGCGCTGCTTTTTGAACCCACCCTCATTAACCACCCCCCTTTCCAGTGGTCTCCATCGAGGACCCCTTTGACCAGGACGACTGGGAGACCTGGAAGAAGTTCCTGACCCAGGTGCAGATCCAGATTGTGGGGGACGACCTGACGGTGACCAACCCCAAGCGCATCCAGAAGGCCGTGGAGCAGAAGGCCTGCAACTGCCTCCTCCTCAAGGTCAACCAGATCGGCTCCGTCACCGAGTCCATCCAGGCGTGAGTCCAGATGGGTCTCTCAAGGGAAACTCTGAGGTGGGCTCTCCTGGGAGGGGAGGGGTCTGTGACCCTGTATGACCCCTCCTCTCTCTCTCTCCCTCCGCCCTGCCTCCTTTCCAGCTGCAAACTGGCCCAGAGCAACGGCTGGGGAGTCATGGTCAGCCACCGCTCCGGGGAGACGGAGGACACCTTCATCGCTGACCTGGTGGTGGGACTCTGCACTGGGCAGGTGAGCGGGTGGGGGTGCCCAGGTCGGGGACCCCTCCCCAAGCCCTCCCTTCCCCATATAATAAGGTTGTGACCTGTTTTGGGGGTCTTCTTACAGATCAAGACCGGGGCCCCCTGCCGGTCAGAGCGCCTGGCCAAGTACAACCAGCTGATGAGGTGAGTGGCCGGAAAAGCCGGGCTGGAGGGGAGATGGGCTTCGTGGGGAGAAGAGAACCATAAAGGTGGAAGGGACCCCCAAAGGCCATCAAGTCCAGCCCCCTCCTGCCATGCACTCCAAGCACTCCTGAGAAGACGACATTTTTTTTCATGTCAGGAGCAACTTGAGAAACTGCAAGTTGCTCTTGGTGTAAGAGAATTGGCCGTCTGCAAGGATGTTGTCCAGGGGACGCCCAGATGTTTTACCATCCTTATAGGAGGTGTCTCTCGTGTCCTCCCGCATGAGAAGCTGGAGATGACAGATGGGAGCTCACACCACTCCCTGGATTTGAACCACTGACCTTTTGGTCAGCAGTCCTGTCATTTTGGTCAGCAGTCCTGTCAGCAGTCCTGTTTTACCATCCTTATAGGAGGCGTCTCTCGTGTCCCCCCACATGAGAAGCTGGAGATGACAGATGGGAGCTCACACCACTCCCCGGATTTGAACCACTGACCTTTTGGTCAGCAGTCCTGTCATTTTGGTCAGCAGTCCTGTTTTACCATCCGTATAGGAGGCGTCTCTCGTGTCCTCCCACATGAGAAGCTGGAGATGACAGATGGGAGCTCACCCCACTCCCCGGATTTGAACCACTGACCTTTTGGTCAGCAGTCCTGTCAGCAGTTCTGTTTTACCATCCTTATAGGAGGCGTCTCTCGTGTCCCCCCGCATGAGAAGCTGGAGATGACAGATGGGAGCTCACCCCACTCCCCGGATTTGAACCACTGACCTTTTGGTCAGCAGTCCTGTCACCAGGAACTCCTTAGAACAGACAGATAGAATTGATGATGCAGATAGATAGATAGATAGATAGATAGATAGATAGATAGATAGGATGCGAGAGAGAGAGATAGGACAGACTACAATAGGTGGGTAGGTATAAATGCAATGCATTTGCATTGATAGTTGGGTAGGTGTAAAGGTATAGATGGGAGGTTGATAGATAGGACAGACAGATAGATAGTTGGGTAGGGAGGAAAATAGATAAACAGACAAGATAGACAGAATTGATGATGCAGATAGATTATATGAGATGAGATGGGAGGTTGATAGATAGGACAAACAGATAGATCAGTGGTTCTCAACCTGGGGGTCGCGGCCCCTAGAGGGGTCATTTGGCCATTTCAGAGGGGTCACGGCGGCCCCTCCTTAGGCCCCATGCGTCGTCTACCGGGTGCCAAAAAGGCCCAGAGGATTTTGTTTTGGGGTTTGACCATCCTTGTGGGAGGCTTCTCACATGTCCCCGCTTGGGAAGCTGGAGCTGACAGAGGGAGCTCAACCCACTCTCCCCAGATTCGAACCTTCGACCTGTCAGTCAGCAGTCTTGCCAGCGGAAGGTTTTGACCCACTGCACCCCCAGGGACCCCCAGAGAAGGAGACTCCGTCACACATAACGCTATGTAACTCGCTGTGAAACATGTGCTGTTCCTGATTTGAAAGCGTCATTTCCTGTTTAATTGTGCAGTGTTTACTTCGAGAGTAGTTGTTCTACTTTCTGTGGCTGCCACAAACTAGGTTGAACGGGTTGAGACTCAATGGGATAGGCATTGAAAAACTAGAACCAAAAGTGCTGCTGCAGGATGCCTCGCAAAAACTAAACGTTTTTGCAGTTTCATAACCCTTTCCCATGTTTTTGTGACTGAACCAAATAATGACGTTTATAACCCAGAAACAAAAATCGTGTTACATAGTGTAGAAACAATGGGTTGCTGTGATGTCATAATAATAATTAATAATAATAATAATAATGGGTTGCTGTGAGTTTTTTGGGCTGCATGGCCATGTTCCAGTAGCATTCCCTCCTGACGTTTCTCCTGCATCTGTGGCTAATGGCATTTTCAAAGGACTGTTGGAAGTGAGGCAAGTGGGATCTATATATCCGTGCAATGGTGTCCAGGGTGGAAGAAAGGCCCCTTGTCTGTTTGAAGCGAGTGTGAGTTTGAGTAGCATTGAGTAGCCATGAAGCTGCAAAGTCAATCAGTGAGGGTATCTGCAAAGAACCTGGCCTCCGTTGCCTGGAGGCATCCTCTGTTTGGAAGGTGTTAACCGCACTGGATTGGGTTGTTGTGAGCTTTCTGGGCTCTAAGGATACCTACCATAGATGCAGGCGAAACGTCAGAAGAGAATGCTTCAAGACCATAGCCATACAGCCTGGAAAACTCATAACAACCCAGTGATTCTGGTTATGAAAGCCTTTGACAATACACGGCACTTGATGGTTTGTTGCCTGGAGTTCCCCTCCAGGCAACCAAAGCCAGGCTACCTCTAGGCAGATACCCACACTGGTTGACTTTGCAGCTTCATGGCTACTCAATGCTATTCAAGCTTGCTAATTTCACTGACTCCAAACAGTCAAGGTACTCTTCCTCCCACAGCTACGTCACACAAAAAATCTGTGATATAGGCAGCAGGAAGTTCTTGGGTGGAATTTCCTTTTCCGGTGGCGCAGTGGGTTAAACCGCTGAGCCGCTGAACTTGCTGACTGAAAAGTTTCAGGTTCAAATCCGGGGGGCGAGGTGAGCTCCCACTGTTAGCCCCAGCTGCTGCCAACCTAGCAGTTTGAAAGAGTGAGTAGATCAATAGATAGCACTCCAGGGGGAAGGTAACAGCTCTCCATGCAGTCATGGCAGTGGCCACATGACCTTGGAGGTGTCTATGGACATTGCTGGTTCTTTGGCTTAGAAATGGAGATGAGCACCAGAGTCCCAGAGTCGGACACCACTGGACTTAATGTCAGGGGGAAAACTTCTCCTTTGCCTTCTGCTATTTGAACCCATGGCTCCAATGTGACCTAGCATTGCCGCTTCTTCCTCCTCAATGGGACCTCCTGCAAATATTTCAACATGGCCCCCGTACCCCATATCTTCTGTTTTCCAAGATGCACATCCCTTGTGGCTCCCTGACCTTCTCGTCTGAGAGGTCCATGGCTCTCCTCTAGACCTGGCCTGGCTAAGAATAATAATAATAATAATAATAATAATGATTTTATTTTGATACCCCGCCAACCATCTCGCTTTGTCCATCCTCCTTGACCGATACCACGGTCTCCTTGCCTTCCTTCCTTCTGCAGGATCGAGGAAGAGCTGGGGGACAAGGCCAAGTTTGCCGGGCGCAAGTTCAGGAACCCCTTCGCCAAGTGAGGCGGCCCCGGCGGGAGGAGGAAGAGGAAGAGGAGCGCCCACGACAACGACAACAACGAGGGGCCGCCTTCTCCTTGGGACCCCTTCAAAGAGCAGCCCACTTCTGAGGTCCCCCCCAAACGCCCATCTTGGGGACCTGAATAAACAGGCAGCTGTGCCACCAAACTCTTCCTCCTACTCCTTCGTGTCTTGTGTCGCTTTTGCCAGTGGGTGGATATGTTCTCTTACTGTAGGCATGAGCCAACTTTGGCCCTCCCCCTCCAGATGTTTTGGACTCCAACTCCCACCATTCCTCACAGCCTCAGGCCCCTTCCTTTTGCCCCTCAGCCGCTTAAGCTAGATGATAGACCTAAAAGATGCCTACCTTCATATCTCAACAAATAGATATCCCAGAAGCCCCGCTCATTCTAACCAACAGGGAGGAACTCTGGGAGTTGTAGTCCAAAACACCTGAAAGGCCCAGAGTGACTACACCAGGCCTGGGCCTACTTGGGCTTTCCTTCCAGGTGTTTTGGACTCCAACTCCCACCATTCCTCACAGCCTCAGGCCCCTTCCTTTTGCCCCTCAGCCGCTTAAGCTAGATGATAGGGTGATAGACCTAAAAGATGCCTACCTTCATATCTCAACAAATAGATATAACGCTTAAGCGGCTGAGGGGCAAAAGGAAAGGGCCTGAGGCTGCGAGGAATGGTGGGAGTTGGAATCCAAAACATCTGGAGGGGGAGGGCCAAAGTTACCAGGCACCCAGGACTCCTGCACCCACCATCACACCTTAGCCTATGCCTTGAGGGGACCAGGTAGAATGCATTTGGGGCTCCACAATGAGCCCGTCCATGCCCCATCCTTGAACTGGAAGGGGACCCTGAGGGCATCTAGCCTCCAGCCAGTTCTGCCTGAAGCTTCCATCAGAGCTGGGCGACTGGCGAAAAGGCCACCAAACGTGAATCCATGGCCTCCTGACGCAGCTGTGCAATTAGAAGGGACCCAGAGGTCATCCTGTCCAACCCTGTCCCGCCACATCACAATACACAACTAAAGTCGTCTGCAGAGATGCCCACACAACCCTTGTTTACGAAACCTGCAAAGGAAGAAGGTCCTCCAGCTTCAGCAGTTAAACTGTCCTGTTTGGAATTGCTCCTGTGTGTCTATTTTGCAAGTTTCCCATCGTGGTCAACTGTGAATTGCACATATGGTAGTTTCTGTGCTGTGGGTTGTTGTAGGTTTTTCCGGGCTATATGGCCATGTTCTGGAGGCAATTTTTCTCCTGATGTTTCGCCTGCATCTATGGCAAGCATCCTCAGAGGTAATGAGGTCTGTTGGGACTAGGAAAAATGGGTTTATATATCTGTGGAATGACCAGGGTGGGACAAAGGACTCTTGTCTGCTGGGGCTACTAGCTGTGAATGTTTCAGCTGATCACCTTGATTTGCATTCAATGGCTTGGAAGTGCCTGGGGGGAATCTTTTGTTGAGAGTGATTTCATGTGCCTGTTTGTTTCCCCTCTGTTGTTTTGCTGTTGTGATTTTTGAGTCCTTTAATACTGGTAGCCAGATTGTGTTCATTTTCATGGTCTCTTCCTTTCTGTTGAAATTGTCCACCAGCTTCTTGTGGATTTCAATGGCTTCTCTGTGTAGTCTGACATGGTGGACTACACAGAGAGTGGTCCAGCATTTCCGTGTTCTCAAATAACACAGAAAGAGAGTGGTCCAGCATTTCCGTGTTCGCAAATAATATGCTGTGTCCAAGCTGGTTCATCACCCCCCAGGCGCTGCCAAGCCATTGAATGCAAATCAAGGTGATCAGCTGAAACATTCACACCTAGCCCCAGCAGACAAGAGTCCTTTGTCCCACCCTGGTCATTCCACAGATATATAAACCCATTTTTCCTACTTCCAACAGATCTCACTACCTCTGAGGATGCTTGCCATAGATGCAGGCGAAACGTCAGGAGAAAAACTGCCTCCAGAACATGGCCATAAAGCCCGGAAAAACCTACAACAACCCATGGATTCCGGCCATGAAAGACTTCGACAATACATAGTTTCTGTGCTGTCTGCTCAGGCGCAGAAACTACCATATGTGTGAATTCACAGGTGACCACTCGGGGAGACTACGGTTACAGGTAAGCAACCTATATTTTCCCAGCCCTGCGGGGTTTTTGCTGGGCAGAAGCAGGTGGTACCTCCTCTTAACTACGAGGGTTATCTGGAAGGTAAGGTTACAAGGCACATAACTCCCGTGGGGAATTTTCTCGGGCAAAGTTGGTATGACTGCCGTGTAGTGGGAAGCCAGCGGAAGCGAACGAGCTGTGCCCGTCGTCAGTAGCTCATCAACTGGTGTTGTAGCGAAGGTTCGAGATGAGCGTCCTCATCCTGTTTCCCTCCAAGTGCAAAGTTCTTAGCGCTGTAATGCGCTACCTAAATGGTAAGGGCATGAATGCCGCTGCAACTCATGGCCAAATCATTTCAGTTTATGGAGACAGCATGTGACCAAATGGGTACGGAATATATTGTGAGACCACGAAGAAACTTCGCAGAGCCATCCAAAACAAACGTGGTGGGATGCTGATGGCGGGAGCCTGTCTCCTTCATGACAATGGGTGTCTGTCCGCACACCACTCATGCAACACAAGAGTGACTTCATTGGGTTGGGATGTTTGAAGGCCCCCCTCTCACAGCCCCGATCGGTCTCGCACCCGGGGACTATCATCTGTCCCCTCAATTGAAGGAACACCCGGCGGAAAACACTTTTCTGACAACAAGGAGGAAATCAAAGTGACAAACTGGCTGAAAAAGGTGGAGGGAAACTTCTATGGCGTCAAAAACCTGTCCCACGGATGACAAAATAAACTGAATGGCGATTGTGTGGAAAAATAGTGTCATCCCTAGGCTACATACAATCCATGTCAGTTTCATTAAAATATATGCATTCTTTGTATTTTAAAACAAATATTGTAATCTTAGGTAAAGGTATTCCCCTTGACATGAAATTGTCGTGTCCGACTCTGGTGCTCATCTCCGTTTCTAAGCCAAAGAGCCGGCGTTGTCCGTAGACACCTCCACGGTCATGTGGCCACTGACAGGACTGCATGGAGCACCCTTATCTTCCTGCCAGAGCGGTATCTATTGATCTACTCACATTTGCATGGTTTCGAACTGCTAGGTTGGCAGGAGCTGGGGCTAACAGAGGGAGCTCACCCTGCTCCCTGGATTCAAACTGGCAACCTTTTGGTCAGCAAGTTCAGCAGCTCAGCGCTTCAACACACTGCACCACCAGCGGCTCCATGTAACCTTACTTTCCAGATAACCCTCGTACAACTCCCACGATCCCACAGCAATGAGTCATGGTGGTTAAAAGTGGTTGCAAACTGCATTACTTCTACAATGTGAATGCACCCCACGCCTGTCCTTAGTTGTATTGGTTATTATTATTATGCTAATCACCTCTCAACAAAAGTTTGCTCCAGGCACTGTCAGGCCATTATATGCTAATCAAGGTGGTCAGTTGAAACATTCCCCCCTAGCTCCAGCGGACAAGAGTCCTTTGTCCTACCCTGGTCATTCCACAGATATATAAACCCTTTTTCCCTAGTTCGAACAGACCTCCCTACTTCTGAGGATGCTTGCCATAGATGCAGGCGAAACGTCAGGAGAGAATGCCTCTAGACCATGGCCATACAGCCCAAAAAACCTACAACAACCCAGTGATTCTGGCCATGAAAGCCTTCGACAATATTATGCTATTGGTTGCTCAACCCAACAGCCATGGCAGCTATAGGTCCTACTCTGCATTCTCATAGGTGTATCTATGGCAGTGGTTCTGAACCTGTGGGCCGTGGAGCACCAGTGGGCCATGAGGATTAAAATCTGGTCTGCAAGCCTCCTTCCTCTTTATTTATTTATTTATTTAAACTTCTGCTCCTTTCGTGCCACCTGCCACTCCTTCCCTGTCGCTGACCGTGGCAGATGTTCTGTATCAGAAACTGTCTGAATGCATCTTCTTCTATGTCCCGCCTCGGAGTTTAAGATCCTCTGGGGAGGCCCGGCTCTCGGCCCCGCCTCTATCACAAGTGAGATTGGTGGGGACGAGGAGCAGGGCCTTCTCAGTGGTGGCCCCTCACCTGTGGAATTCACTTCCCGGGGAAATGAGGTCATCGACATCCCTCCTCTCTTTCAGAAGGAAACTAAAAACATGGATATGGGACCAGGCTTTTGGGCAATCTGGCAGATAGACAAAGGACAATGACGACTAGAATTGGATAGGATTATGACAATGCGGAATGAACTTACGGATTTTGAGCTTGGCGAACGATGACCACTAGACTGGTTTTTATTAGTTGTACTGTATAACTGGATTGTTTTAATTGTGTATAATTGTTGCTGATTTATATTTTATCTCATTATCTGTACTGCTGGCATCGAATTGTGCCTTTTGTAAGCCGCCCTGAGTCCCCCCTCGGGGGTTGAGAAGGTAGAAGTGCGCGAAATAAATAAATAAATAGAGCTTTTGGTCAGCAAGTTCAGCAGCTCAGTGGTTTAACCCACTGTGCCACCGGCGGCTCCATGTCACCTTACTTTCCAGATAACCCTCGTACAACTCCCACGATCCCCCTGCATTGAGCCATGGTGGTTAAAAGTGGTTGCAAACTGTGTTACTTCTACAATGTGGATGCAGACCATGCTTGTCCTTCTGTTGTCTTTTTTCACACGCCTAAAAGGGGAGCTGGGTTCAAAGGAGAGGAGGCCCAGGCACGGCCGCACTCCAAAACAAGCCTTTAATGGGAGGCGCAGACACTCGCACGCACGCACGCACCTTGCCCCCTTCCCTCCCTCCCTTCCTCCCGTTTGCCTGCGGGACCGACACCCAGACGCCACAAAAACAGGAAGTGGGCAGAGGAGCAGGAAGCGGCAGGAGGCGCCCGGCAGCTTCCCCACAGCAGGCTGAAATGCCGCTTCTCGCTCTCTCCCCATATATATACATATATAAAAAAGGAACCTTGCCAAGAACAGAGAGGGGGTGACTCTGGTGCAGGGGGTCCGCACCTCTCACTGGTGCCAGGACCGGGGGAAGCGCCCTTCTGGGACGTCCACTATCACTGGCCGTGGGTTGCAGAATCCACCATCAGAAAAGCTGGGCAACAGTGCCTCCTGGTGGCAAGGAAGCCGCTTGGCAACTCAGCCTCCCACTGATTCCTCAAAGGGGAGAAGCGAAGGGAAAGGGTGGCAGGACGGAGTTAGGACCCTCTCTCTGGGTTTGGGGGCAGGGGAAGAGGAGCTCAGGCTCCTCCCATGGGTCAAGGGAGGCTGTGGGGCTGGGTTGGCCACCCGTGATTTCCTCAGTGCTTGCAAACAAACACACACACGCACCCCGAGTCCCTCCTCGTGGCTTCTGGCTCAGACAACGTCGTCGCAGTCCGTCTGGCAATATTAAAAGGCAAGGCAATCCTAGGCCAGGGGGTTAAATACTCAAAAGACTCAAAGGGAGGGATGGGGAGGGGAAGGGGCCACAGGAAGGGCTTCCCCTCCCCTCCAGAGACCCCCTTCCTTCGAAACAGACTCACAAACAGCAGCCTCAGGGCAGGAGACAAGGTTCCCCTGGCTGACAACACGACGCCTTGCAAAAACAGAGTCCTAGGAGGAGGAAGACGTGGAGGAGGAGGAGGAGGTGGTGCTGCTGGGGGCCAAAGGAGGGGCCCCGTCTTCGTTCTGCCGCAGGCGCTTCTTTGCCCGGATCTCGTTCATGGCCTCTTCGATGGAGCGCGTGTCTCTCTTGTTGGCGACAGGAACTGGAGGAGGAAGAAGAGAAGCAAGTGAGTGGAAGGAGAGCATTCTGGGATGCATTTTGGCCCCCCAAACTCAGAACGCTTAAGAGTCTCCACCGGAAGCCTTGAAGGGGCCCCTTTCCAGCTCCCTAAGGACCCAGCACAAAGAATAGCAAGTACAAAGACAATGCTGCAAATTTACATTATTACAGTATGGAACACAATTATTGTTCTGTAATAATAATAATAATAATAATAATCCTTTATTTATACCCCGCTACCATCTCCCGAAGGGCTCGGTGTGGCTTATATGAGGCCGAGCCCAAGTACATCATTAAAAACAACAACAACAGCAATGCAGACAATAAATAAACTCATAAACAAAGCAAAAAAAACATAAACAATAACACCGCGGCGTATTAAAACCAGTGGCAGGGCCAAATGTAGTACTTAAAATCTTTTAAAATGTTGGGCATGATCAGGTGAAATAGGATAGATATTTTAGGGATAGGAGGGGCGTGCAGGCAATTCTAGATCTCTAGTAAAAAACCAAAGATTATGGCAACAAGAATGATTGACAACTGGAAAATAGAGGGAGAAATCGTGGAGGCCGTGACAGGGTTTGTATTTCTAGGTGCGAAGATGAGTGCAGATGCAGACTGTGGCCAGGAAATCAGGAGACGCTTCCTTCTTGGGAGGAGAGCAATGTCCAGTCTCGATAAAATAGTCAAGAGTAGAGACATCAGACTGGCAACAAAGATCCATTGCCTAGTCCAAGCCATGGTCTTCCCTGTAGTAGTCACCTACGGATGTGAGAGCTGGACTTGAGGGAAGGCTGAGCCAAGGAAGAGAGAGGCTTTGGAGCTGTGGTGTTGGAGGAAAGTGCTGAGAGTGCCTTGGACTGCGAAAAGATCCAACCAGTCCATCCTCCAGGAAAGAAAGCCCGGCTGCTCACTGGAGGGAAGGAGACGAGAGGGAAAGCGGAAGTCCTTTGAATGCCACATCATGAGGAGACAGCAAAGCCTGGAGAAGGGGATGATGCTGGGGAAAGTGGAAGGCAAAAGGAAGAGGGGCCGACCAAGGGCAAGATGGATGGGTGGCATCCTTGAAGTGACTGGACTGACCTTGAAGGAGCTGGGGGTGGTGACGGCCGACAGGGAGCTCTGGCGTGGACTGGTCCATGAGGTCACGAAGAGTCGGAGACGACTGAACGAATGAACAACAACAACAAGTAAAGTGCATTTGGGACATACTGCTTGGAGTTTCCTTATTCTGGGAAGGCACACAGGAACAATCACATTTTCAAGCTCCTCCTAAAGACTGCCAGAGTTGGGGCATGCCTGATGTCCTTGGGGAGTGAGTTTCAGAGTTGAGGGGCCACCACCGAGAAGGCCCTCTCCCTCGTCCCCACCAATTGTGCCTGTGATGGAGGTGGAAGCGTGAGCAGGGCCTCTCCAGATGAACGAAGAGATTGTGGGGGTTCGTATACAGAGATGTGGTCACACATAAGAAATTCCATGTGCAGATTTGATAAATGTGAATTTCATATGATGTGTGGGAATGAATGGAAGAATGAGTGGAATTAATAATTTTGGAAACACCAGTAAACTATGAAAGCCTGCAATGACTAGCTACCTGTTTGCTGGACTGTAATTAAAAGTTGCTAATAAGAACAACAAAGTAAACCCTGGTAAGAACGGTGACAATGGTTCTTTCAAGTTAAGGAAATGTTTGCAACATTTTTTATGTTAAGAAGGAAGTCAACACAAGCCTTGTGTTTGTCAAGACCAATCAAGAACATCTGGCCAGGAAACTGAGATGGAGCCAGGATGGAAGACGTCTATCATTTATTTACAACTTTGGGACGACATCAGCTGGATATTCCTATAAAAGACTCAGTCTAATAATGCTCAAAGTGTGGCAGACCTGAGGAGTCTGTTCCACCCGCTCTGCTCTGCTCTGTGGGAATAATAATAATAATAACAATAATAACACTTTATTTATACCCCGCTACCATCTCCTGTAGGACTCTGTGCGGCTTACATGAGTCCGAGCCCAAAATACAACAATACAAGCAATTTAAAAACAACAAAACAATAAAACAATAACATAAGCATTATCAATAGGACAATCATAGAATCATCTATATAAATAAAAATGTAATGTTCGTTTGTGGGATTAACATAACTCAAAAAAACCACTGGACGATTTGCCGCCAAATTTGGCCACAAGACACCTACTAACCCAAGGAGTGACCATCACTCAAAAAAATTGGTTTTGTCATCTAGGAATTGTAGTTGCTGGGATTTATAGTTAACCTACAATCCAAGAGCATTCTGAGCTCTACCAACAATGGAATTGAACCAAACGTGGCACACAGAACTCCCATGACTAACAGAAAACACTGGAAGCGTTTGGTGGGCATTGACCTTGAGTTTGGGAGTTGTAGTTCACCTACATCCAGAGAGCACTGTGGACTCAAACAATGATGGATCTGGACCAAACTTGGCAAGAATATTCCATATACCCAGCAAACAAAGTTTCTGGAGTGGAACAACTCCTTCCAAAGTCAGGACCACACCATTAAAACAGGAAATAACACTTTCGAACCAGGAACAGAAAATTCTGCAAATGTTGTTACGTAGGTTTATACACAACAGTAAAACTACATCCAGCACAGCTAAAATAGGAGCCTGCACCACACTCGGAAGCAGTCAGCAACCTCTGGAGATTTTCAAGCATTTTTTCCCTGTGTCAGGAGCAACTTGAGAAACCGCAAGTCGCTTCTGGTGTGAGAGAAGAGGCTGCCTGCAAGGATGTTGTCCAGGGGATGCCCAGATGTTTTACCATCCTGTGGGAGGCTTCTCTCGTGTCCCTGCATGGGAAGCTGGAGCTGATAGATGGGAGCTCACCCTGCTCCTCAGATTCAAACCACTGGTCTTTCTGGAGAGGCCCTGCTCATGCTCCCACCTCCCTCACAGGCTCAATTAGTGGGGACGAGGGAGACGGCCTTCTCAGTGGTGGCCCCTCGACTCTGGAACTCACTTCCCAGGGACATTAGACATGCCCCAACGTTGGCTGTCTTTAGGAGGAGCCTGAAAACGTGGTTGTTCCAGTGTGCCTTCCCAGAATAGGAGAACTCTCAGCAACATGCCCTCATAATGCACTTTAATACTGACTTAGGATGGATTCTTGTTCCCTCGTTTCTCTCTGAAAAATCCTATCCCAGTTATATTTTTTTGCCTGTTCACGTCAGCATATTTTCAATTTTAACTTATTACATTTGGCCCATTTTAAAACTGTTTATATGTCACTATTGATAGTAGTTTTGTTATGCGATTTATATGATTTGTATTTTATTGATTGTTTTATTAATGTTGTGTTATTGATGTTGTTTGATGTGTTGTTGGGCTTGGCCTCATGTAAGCCGCACCGAGTCCCATGGGGAGATGGTAGCGGGGTACAAATAAAGTATTATTATTATTATTATTATTATTATTAGCAGTCTTGCTGGCACAGGGGTTTAACCTGGATGGCCATCTGTTAGGGGTGCTCTGATTGTGCTTTTCCTGCTTGAAAGCAGAAAGAGCCTGGACTGGATAGTCCTTGTGGGCCCCTTCCAACCAGGACTCTATGGAATCTAAAATGAAGGCACTCCACAACAGGAAATGCACACTGGACATACAAGTACTGACCTCACACTCACTCCCTTAGGGTTTTACTTCTTGTGATCCCTATAGATTCCACTAGACAACCCCACTTTGACTCTGAATGGCATTTCCCTGGAGATATAGGCCAGGGATTAGTCCGTGGGCCCAAGGGGCAAAAGACACAGGGGCCCACCTCAGGGCGAAGCTATCACTGCCACTGAATGGGCCTTTCCATTGTTGAGAAAGGGGAGGGCAGAGCATTCAGTAGGTGGGACACCCCCTCCCACGTTATGGGTGCCATTTCGAGACCTCCATAGGACCACACTGGGACACCAGTACAGCCAGGTCTGTTTACACCTGTGCGATACCACAGCGGACACACTGGGGAGCCTTCCGTCCTGAGCTACCCTCCAAAAACAGCCTTGAGACCAGTGGTTCTCGACCTTCTTAATGTCACGACCCCTTAATCCAGTTCCTCATGTTGTGGCGACCCCCAAGCATAACATTATTGTTATTGCTACTTCATACCTGCAACTTTGCTACTGTTATTATGGAAATATCTGATATGCAGGATGTATTTTCATTCACTGGACCAAATTGGAATACTGGTGGGGTTGTGGGGATTGATTTTGTCATTTGGGAGTTGTAGTTGCTGGGATTTATAGTTCACCTACAATCAAAGAGCATTCTGAACTCCACCAACGACGGAATTGAAACAAACTTGGCACACAGAACTCCCATGGCTAACAGAAAATACTGGAAGTGTTTGGTGGGCATTGACCTTGAGTTTTGGAGTTGTAGTTCACCTACATCCAGAGTGCACTGTGGACTCAAAACAATGATGGATCTGGACCAAACTTGGCATGAATACTCAATATGCCCAAATATGAACACTGGTGGAGTTTGGGAGAAATAGACTTTGACATTTGGGTGTTGTAGTTGCTGCGATTTATAGTTCACCTACAATTAGAGAGTTATGAACTGCACCAATGATAGAATTGGGTGAAACTTCCCACACAGAACCCCCACGACCAACAGAAAATACTAGAAGGGTTTGGTGGGCATTGACCTTGAGTTTTGGAGTTGTAGTTCACCTACATCCAGAGTACACATGGATGGATCTGGATCAAACTTGGCATGAATACTCAATATGCCCAAATATGAACACTGGTGGAGTTTGGGGGAAATAGACTTTGACATTTGGGTGTTGTAGTTGCTGGGATTTATAGTTCACCTACAATTAGAGAATTATGAACCGCACCAATGATGGAATTGGCCGAAACTTCCCACACAGAACCCCCATGGCCAACAGAAAGTGCTGTGTTTTCTGATGGTCTTTGGTGACTCCTCTGAAACCCCCTCGCGACCCCCTCCCCAGGGGTCCCGACCCCCAGGTTGGGAACCACTGCTTTAGACAATGTTGAAAGCAAAAGAAAAATGCTTTACTTCAGCAAACACAAAGGAGAAGCAAATGCAATTGGAAAGTGCAAAAGAAAACAAGGAAGTCTTAATCCAGACACAAATCAAAGTCTCTTACAAAATCCCGAAAGAAACACCAGTCTTCCATCAGACAACGGACAATGAACTAAGTCCTTAGCAGCAGACACAAAGGAGATTCCATTGGAGTGAAAACTTCAGTATCAGGGTTGTTGTTACCAGTGAAAGCTGACTACTCCTGCCTCTGATTATAGCCCTGAATTCCCCACAAAGGAGATGCTAGGGCGTCTCCCAATTAGCTCAGCGTTTTTAGCAGCTATTCTGGCTGAATGCTGTCTGTGCTCTTGTCTCTTTCTGTCTCTATAAAAATGTGGGCACTTACAAATCCTCATTGTCTGATTCTCCTCCTCCCTCCAATTCCTGAGCATTTCCCTGCTCCCCTTCCTCGTCCGAAGATGAGGAATCCTAAACACCTTCCCCGGAGCCGGGCTCTTCTCAGGGGTCTTCCGACTCACCACATCCGTAGGCCACGTTGGGCTCCATGGCGTGGGCGGCGTCCTTGGCGGCCACTTTGCCGATGAGGTGGCTATACTTATCCTTGTAGTCGGTGTTGGGGTTGACCACTGTGGGACCCTTCCGGGCCTCCTCTTCCTCCTGACGCTGGGCCAGTTCCTGGGGGGGGGGGGGGGGGGGGGGGGGGGAGGAAGGGGACACCACTCAGTAACTCATCTCATAGTGCTGTGTCCTGGAGCGCTGCAAATCACTGTGCCCTGCATTCATAACTTTTTAATTTATTTCTTTATTTACGATATTTATAGCCCGCCTTTCTCAGCCATACGGCAACTCAAGGCAGGTTACAGATTGGCACAATTCAATGTCAAGCATTCATCAAAGTGCCATTAAAAACAATCAACATTACAATATAAAACATAAATAAAAACAGTTAAAACATATAATCATCAGTGTCATCTTGTTAAAAACGTTATCCAATCACATCGTCCGGCCATTCCATGTTCATCATTCATAGTTCCGTGTTATCTCTTCCGCTGTATTCTCAAAAGCTTGCTCAAAGAGCCAGGTCTTTACTTTTTTTCCGGAAAGTCAGGAGGGAGGAGGCTGATCTAATATCCCGGGGAGGGAGTTCCATAGCCAGGGGGCCACCACTGAGCAGACCCTGTCCTTCGTCTCTGCCAATCACACCTCATCTGAATTTGCGAAGCCACTGAGAACCACATCCCATGCCGTTGAGTCCAGTCACCTCTCACCCTCATTCTCGGGTGACTGTCAAGCCACAGACACGGCAGATTTTGGAATGCATTTGAGGAAAAAGGAGAACCACCCTGTGTTCAAATGAAAGGGTGAGGCCTGAGGACATGTGGGAGGGAGGGTTCCTTGCGAAAGCTAAGCCACCCACCCTCCAGCATGTCATCAATCAAAGCCAGGACGTGTCTGGCCAAGCAACACCAGGAGGACACGATTCTGACCCTCCGCTCCTTGTTGAGTTAATTCAGTCCAAACTACTGTTGCACCTTGGACTCAGCTGGCAACAACTGGGCTAACCCGAGGACCAAAGGGGAAAGTCAAAGGAGGAGAGAGCGAATTCCCTGAGCTCGCTCTTGATTGAACTCTAACATGAACATCTCTCAAGAGAGATATTGACTCTAAGCTGGAATGTGTCCAGAGGAGAGCGACTAAAATGATAAAAGGTCTAGAGAACAAACCCTATGAGGAGCGGCTTAAGGAGCTGGGCATGTTTAGCCTGAAGAAGAGAAGGCTGAGAGGAGATATGATAGCCATGTATAAATATGTGAGAGGAAGCCACAGGGAGGAGGAGGAGGGAGCAAGCTTGTTTTCTGCTTCCCTGGAGACTAGGACGCAATGGAGCAATGGCTTCAAACTACAAGAGAGGAGATTCCATCTGAACATGAGGAAGAACTTCCTGACTTTGAGAGCCGTTCAGCAGTGGAACTCTCTGCCCCGGAGTGTGGTGGAGGCTCCTTCTTTGGAAGGCTTTAAACAGAAGCTGGATGGCCATCTGCCAGGGGTGATTTGAATGCGATATTCCTGCTTCTTGGCAGAATGGGGTTGGACTGGATGATGGCCCAGGAGGTCTCTTCCAACTCTAGGATTCTCGGATTATATGAAAGGTGAAGAAAAATAGCAATCTAACCAAGTTGCAATATTTCTCACTTTTAGGTTTATTTATTTTTTAATTACTGAAAGGATTGGCAGTTGCAATATAATTAGGGCAGAGAACCAGGGACTTGCTGCTGGTTAGGAGACCATCACGTCAACCTATTTGATTCAATTCAATGCAGGCAATTCCAACAGTTCCCCTATCCCATGCGTTTTGGGTACTTTAGAAAAGGAATATGAAGAATCCTAAGATCCTGAGACGCCCCCAGACTGTCTTTTCCCCAATCTCCTTTTTTTGGGTCTGTTTCTAATGTTAGTCAGACCCTGGAAGGAGTTAAGGCGCTGATCTTTAATACAATTCAATTCTGTTTTGTTTACTGTTGAATCTTTTGTTTAAGGAGCTCCATTGGCTGCCGTTCATTTTCCGTTCATTGGCTGCCGTTCATAAGGACATCAGACTTGCCCCAACGCTGGCAGTCTTTAGGAGGAGCCTGAAAACGTGGTTGTTCCAGTGTGCTTTCCCGGACTAATGAAAACTCTTACCAATATGTCCTCAAATGCACTTTAATACTGATTTAGGATTGTCTGTGTGCCCTCATCTTTCTCTGAATTATTATTATTATTATTATTATTATTATTATTATTAACTTTATTTGTACCCCGCGAGCATCTCCCGAAGGACTCGATGCGGCTTACACAGGCCGAAGCCACAAACACAATATAATAGAAAACATAACATAGCAAAACAAAACAAATCAACAATTAAGCAAAACAGCAATGACAATACATCAAGACATTTTAAAACTGGTTCGGCCGGCGTAAATGGGTACAAGGTTAAAAAATGCTGGAATGGCAGGAGGGGCGTGGAAATTAAAAAGTGCGGTGTGCAGCGATGTTAATTGTGCTAAAATGCTACTGGGACTTGGGATGGGGATTCCTAATCCGAGAAGGCACAACGGAACAGCCAGGTTTTCAAATTCCTCCTGAAAACTGCTAATGTAGGGGCCTGTCGGAGATCTTTTGGAAGGGCGTTCCAGAGTCGGGGGGCCACCACGGAAAAGGCCCTGTCCCGCGTCCCCACCAAGCGCGCTTGCGACGTAGGTGGGATCACGAGCAGGGCCTCCCCAGATGATCGAAGCGAGCGCGTGGGTTCGTAGATGGAGATGCGGTCACGCAGGTAGGGTGGTCCCAAACCGTTTAGGGCTTTGTAGGTGAGCACCTGCACCTTGAATTGGGCTCGGAAAATAAATGGCAGCCAGTGGAGCTCCTTAAACAGAGGGGTAGACCTCTCTTGATAATGAGCTCCAGTTAGCATCCTGGCTGCTGCCCGCTGGACCAATTGCAGTTTCCGAGCCGTCTTCAAGGGCAGCCCCACGTAGAGCGCATTGCAGTAATCCATTCTAGAGGTGACCAAGGCGTGGACCACCCCGGCCAGATCAGCCTTCACGAGGTATGGTCGCAGTTGGCGCACAAGTCTCAGTTGCGCAAAGGCCCTCCCGGATACTGCCGACACCTGAGCCTCAAGTGTAAGCGAAGAATCCAAGAGGACGCCCAAACTGCGGACCTGTGGCTTTAGGGGGAGTGTAACCCCGTCCAACACAGGTAACCACCCTATACCCCGATCTGGTTTACCTATCCTAGTTCACCTCCTTGCTCATGTCCAGCATTTTTAAATTTTCATTATTACATTTGGCTCAGCCATAGGTTTTTAAATGTTGTATGTTATGATTGTTATTGTTTATTGTGTATTTTCATTTTTGAGTTTTATTTTAACTGTTGTATTCATTATTTGTTATTGCCTTTGTTTATTGATGTGCTGTGGGCTTGGCCTCGGGTAAGCCGCAACTAGTCCCTTGGGGAGATGGTGGCAGGGTACAAATAAAGTTTTATTTATTATTATTATTTTGCTGTGAGTTCCCAACTCTGTTCTTGCCGAGAATATTATTTACAGTATTTATATACCGCTTTTCTCACCCCGAAGGGGACTCAAAGTGGTTTCCTCATAGGTCATGGCAAAATTCAATGCCAGCACAACAATTACAATAGGGCAGTGTTTCTCAACCTTCCTGATGACGTGACCCCTTAATACAGATCCTCATGTTGTGGTGACCCCCAACCATAATATTATTTTCGTTGCTACATCATAACTGTAAATTTGCTACTATTACGAATTGTAATGTAAATATCCAATATGCAGGATATATTTTCATTAACTGGACCAAATTTGGCACAAATACCCAATACAACCACATTTGAATACTAGTGGGGTTGGGCGAGGGGTTGATTTTGTCAATTGGAAGTTGTAGTTGCTGGGATTTATAGTTCACCTAAAATCAAAGAGCATTCTGAACTCCACCAATGATGGAATTTAACCAAACTTGGCACGTAGAAGTCCCACGACAAACAGAAAATACTGGAAGGGTTGGTGGGCATTGACCTTGGGTTTTGGAGTTGTAGTTCACCTACATCCAGAGAGCCCTGTGGACTCAAACAATGATGTATCTGGACCAAACTTGGCACGAATATTCAATATGCCCAAATGAGAACGTTGGTGAAGTTTGGGGTTTGGTGGGCACTGACCTTGAGTTTGGGAGTTGTAGTTCACCTAGATCCAGAGAGCACGGTGGACTCAAAAAATGATGGATCTTGGCACAAATACTCAATATGCCCAAATGCGGCGTTTGGGTAAAATAGATCTTGACATTTGGGAGTTGTAGTTGCTGGGATTTATAGTTCACCTACCATCAAAGAGCATTCTGAACCTCACCAATGATAGAATTGGCCCAAACTTCCCACTCAGAACCCCCATGACCAACACAACATACTGTGTTTTCTGATGGTGTTTGGCGACCCCTCTAACACCCCCTCACGACCCCCTCAGGGGTCCCGACCCCCAGGTTGAGAACCACTGCAATAGGGCACCCTACCCACAGACACAACCCCAAGGGCAGCCTCTGAGCCCCCCCCCCCACGCCGTTCTCTCCCCGGCCCCAAAAAGAGCAGACCTTGAGCCTCCGCTTCTCCTTGGCCTGCTGTGGGTCCCACTCTTCTCCTCGGCGGTAGGCCTCCAGCTCTTCATCTGACGGGGCAAACTCCTGAGGGAGAGGAAGAAAGAGAAGAGTGAGTGGCTCACCCCTGGTAAGACCCTGCCCCAAATCTTACGAGTGGGGAAGCAGGGAAGGCAACAATCCCACAAGGAGACCCCCACTCGCCTTCTTGAAGATCATGACGTATCGGGAGTCCTCTTCGTCGCCAAAGGAGAAGGAGGTGAGGCCGGCCACTTCCACCACGTCGTGCCTGGAAGGTAAAACCACAACGGAGGGATCAGGCAGAGAACGCGGTACAAGGAGCAGCCAAAGCCAAGCGGCCAAAGGACGCCATTTTTCAAGGAGTGGGTGGGAAAATGTCAGAGGCCTGGCCATTCAGGGAGTGGGGCCTCAATTCAAACTTTAATGTCACTCATTGCGTAAGCTGGTCTTTGTATCTGTTTTAACGTTCCTGAACTCAATAAAAGGAGGGTATAAAAATACGCTATTATTTATTTTAATTATTATTATTCATGTATTTACAGTATTTCTATTCCGCCCTTCTCCTCACCCAGCAGGGGACTCAGGGCGGATTACAGTGTACACAAACACGGCAAACATTCAATGCTAAAGACACACAACAGATATAGACAGACAGTCAGAGGCTATTTAACTGTTGCTTTCACCGTCCATCTGCGACACTGATGGAAGTACTTCCGCATTCCCTGCATGCTTTGCTGAAGTCTTTTTTATCGGCTTGTAAATTTTGTTAAATTAGCCTCCCCACACAGAGGTGGTACCTAATTTTCCTACTTGACAGATGCAACTGTCTTTCGGGTTGCAAAGGTCGACAACAGGCTACACACAATTGGTTGGAAACCCACTCCAACCCGGGCTGGCTTCGAACTCATGACCTTTTTGGTCAGAGAGATCTTAATGCAGCTCACACTCCGCCAGCTGCACCACAATCCCGGTGAATATAAAAACATTCAACAGTGACTATTTGGCAAATTAGATCTGATTGCTTAAATGCACAACCCAACAGTGGTTCTCAACCTGGGGTCCCCATATGTTTTTGGCCTACAACTCCCAGAAATCCCAGCCAGTTTACCAGCTGTTAGGATTTCTGGGAGTTGAAGGCCAAAAACATCTGGGGACCCCAGGTTGAGAACCACTGCACTAGTCACAGAATCAAAGAGTTGGAAGAGACCTCATGGGCCATCCAGTCCAACCCCCTGCTAAGAATCAGGAATATTGCATTCAGATCACCCCTGAAAGATGGCCATCCAGCCTCTGTTTAAAAGCTTCCAAAGAAGGAGCTTCCACCACACTCCGGGGGAGAGAGTTCCACTGCTGAACGGCTCTCACAGGAAGTTCTTCCTCATGTTTTGATGGAATCTCCTCTCTTGAAGTTTGAAGCCACAGTAAGGAAGTTCTTCCTCATGTTCAGATGGAATCTCCTCTCTTGTAGTTTGAAGCCATTGTTCCATTGCGTCCTAGTCTCCAGGAAGCAGAAAACAAGCTTGCTCCCTCCTCCTCCCTGTGGCTTCCTCTCACGTATTTATACATGGCTATCATATCTCCTCTCAGCCTTCTCTTCTTCAGGCTAAACATGCCCAGCTCCTTAAGCCGCTCCTCATAGGGCTTGTTCTCCAGACCCTTGATCATTTTAGTCACCCTCCTCTGGACACATTCCAGCTTGTCAATATCTCTCTTCAATTGTGGTGCCCAGAATTGGACACAATATTTCAGGTGTGGTCTAACCAAAGCGGAATAGAGCATGGGGAGCATGAATTCCCTAGATCTAGACACTAGGCTCCTATTGATGCAGGCCAAAATCCCACTGGCTTTTTTTACCACCACATGACATTCCTGGTTCATGTTTAACTTGTTGTCCATGAGGACCCCAAGATCTTTTTCACGTGTCCTGCTCTCAAGCCACGTGTCCCCCATTCTGTCTCTTTGCATTTCACTTTTTCTGCCTAAGTGGAGTCTCTGAAAGGAGATGCCATTGCTCCTCCCTCCTCCCTAAGACTTCCCCTCACATATTTACACATGTCTATCATGTCTCCTCTCATCCTTCTCTTCTTCAGGCTAAACATGCCCAGCTCCTTAAGCCGCTCCTCATAGGGCTTGTTCTCCAGACCCTTGATCATTTTAGGACACGAGGCTCCTCTTGATGCAGGCCAACATCCCATTGGCTTTTTTTGCTGCTGCATCACATTCCTGGCTCATGTTTAACTTGCTGTCCACGAGGACTCCAATGTTGGAAGTTTTGTCTTATGTCTGTTCTAACAGCCTGTGTTTTTTTTAATTTAATTGTAGTTAAGTCATAATTTGAGTTTATAATTCGTCTTTATATGTTTCTTTTGTTAGTATGGATGTATTGTTGTTGTATTTGGGCATTGACTGTTTGCCTCTTATGTTTGGAATCCGCCCTGAGTCCCTTCGGAGAGCGGAATATAAATAAAATTTTATCATTGGTTGCGTATGAGGCAAGACCTTTTTCACACGTACTGCTCTCGAGCCATGCGTCCCCCATTCTGTACCTTGGCATTTCATTTTTTCTGCCAAAGTGGAGTCCCTTGCATGTTTAAACATCTGAAAGGAGACGCCATTGAGAAGGGGGCAAGCTTGTTTCAATGCCGCTTTGCGCCTCCTGCAGGGAGACTCAACAAAACAACAACAATAAACGGAGGAACAGATTCAAGATGCAGGAAGAGATTCCACCTCAACATGAGGAAGAATTTCTTGACAGCTGCTGCTTCCTTGGAGTCTCCTTCTCTGGTGGAAGTTTTTAACCCTTCCTAGAGGCTGGATGGCCATCTCTTGGGAGGGCTTTGATGGTGTCTTCCTGCCTGGCAGAAAGAAGCAGGTTGGACTGGATGGCCCTTGGGGTCTCTTCTGACTATGATTCTATATATAAACACAGCAGCAGCACAATCCTTGGTGGTCTCTCACACTGAGTAAAGTGACATACATTTGGGGGGGGGGGGTTCCACAAGGTGCGGTGGGATACACTGGGAATGGTGGGAGCTGGAGACTAAAGTCAAACAACTCACAGGATACTTCGCTTGATCTTGTTCATGGGCTGGAATGTCTTCTTGGTTTGGCTGCTGTCCTGGATGAAGTCCGACACCTCTTTCTCCATCTGCGCCAGGAGTCAGGGAAAAAGGGAGAGAGAATGAGTATGAGGAAGGAAGGAAGGAAGGAAGGAAGGAGGGAGGGAGGAGGGAGGAAAGAGGGAGGAAGGGAAGGAAGGATGGAGGGAGGGAGAGGAAGGGGGAGGGAGGAGGGAGGGAGGGAAGGAGGAGGAAGGAAGGAAGGAAGGAAGGAGGGAGGGAGGAGGGGGGAGGGAGGTAGAGGAAGGGATGGAGAGAAGGATGGAGAGGAGGAAGGAGGGATGGAGAGAAGGATGGAGGGATGGAGAGAAGGAAGGAAGGATGGAGGGATAGAGGAAGGGATGGAGAGAAGGATGGAGAGGAGGAAGGAGGGATGGAGAGAAGGATGGAGGGATGGAGAGAAGGAAGGAAGGATGGAGGGATAGAGGAAGGGATGGAGAGAAGGATGGAGAGAAGGAAGGATGGAGGGAGGAGAGAAGGAAGGGAGGGAGGAGGAAGGAGGAGGGAGGGAGGAGGGGGAGAGGAGGAGGGAGGGAGGCAGGGAGGGAGGGAGGGAGGGAGGGAGGGAGGGAGGAGGGATGGAGGGAGGAAGGAAGGGGAGGGAGGGAGGGAGGAAGGAGAGGGGGAAGGAAGGGGAAGGGAGGGAGGAGGAGGAAGGAGGGAGGGAGGGAGGAGGAAGGAGGGAGGAAGGGAAGAAGGAAGGGAGGGAGGGAGGGGAGGGAGGGAGGGGGAAGGAGGGAGGGAGGAAGGAAGGAGGGAGGGAGGGAGGGAAGGAGGGAGGAAGGAGGGAGGGAGGGAGGAAGGAAGGAGGGAGGGAGGGAGGGAGGGAGGGAGGGGGGAGGAAGGAGAAGAAGGAGGAGGGGAGGAGGGAGGAAGGAGGGAGGGAGGGAGGGGGAGGGAGGGAGGGAAGGAAGGACGGAGGGAGGGAGGGAGGAGGAAGGGAGGAGGGAGGGAAGGAGGGGAAGGAAGGGAGGAGGGAGGGAGGAGGAGGAAGGAGGAGGGAGGAAGGAGGGAGGGAGGGAGGGAGGAAGGAGGAGAGGGAGGAAGGAAGGAGGGAGGGAGGAAAGAAGGAGGGAGGGAGGAGGGGAGGGAAGGGGAGGGAAGGGGAGGGAGGGAGGGAGGAGGGAGGGAGGGAGGGAGGGAGGGAGGGAAGGAGGGAGGAGGGGAGGGAGGGAGGAAGGAAGGAGGGAGGGAGGGAGGGAGGAGGAGGGAGGGGAAGGGAGGGAGGGAGGGAGGGAGGAAGGAAGAGGAGGGGAGGAGGGAGGGAGGGAGGAGAGGGAGGAGGGAGGGAAGGAGGAAGGGAGGAAGGAGGGAAGGGAGGGGAGGAAGAAGGAGGGAGGGAGGAAGGAAGGGTGGGGGAAGGAAGGAAAGGGAGGAAGGAAGGAGGGAGGGAAGGAGGGAGGGAGGAGGAGGAGGAGGAAGGAGGAGGAGGAGGAGGGAGGGAGGGAGGAGGAGGGAGAAAGGGGAGGGAGGGAAGGAGGGAGGGAAGGATGGAAGGAGGGAGGAAGGAAGGAAGGAAGGAGGGAGGGAGGGAGGGAGGGGAAGGAGGAAGGAGGGAGGAGGGAGGGAGGAGGGAGGGAGGGAGGAGGGAGGGAGGGGGGAGGGAGGGAGGGAGGGAGGAAGGGAAGGAAGGAGGGAGGGAGGAAGGAAGGAGGGAGGGAGGGGGGAAGGAGGGAGGAAGGGAGGAGGGGGGGAAGGAAGGAGGGAAGGAGGGAGGGAGGGAGGGAGGGAGGGAGGAAGGAGGGAGGAAGGAAGGAAGGGAGGGAGGAGGGAGGAAGGAGAGGGGAGGAGAAGGAGGGAGGAGGAAGAGGGAGGGAGGAAGGAGGAGGGAAGGAGGAGGGAGGGAGGGAGGGAGGAGAGGGAGGGGGAGGGAGGAAGGAAGGAGGAGGGAGGAGGGAAGGAGGGAGGAAGGAAGGAGGAGGGAGGGAGGAAGGAGGGAGGAAGGAAGGAGGGAGGGAGGAGGGAAGGAGGGAAGGAGGAGAGGAAGGAGGAGGAGGGAGGGAGGGAGGGAGGGAGGGAGGGAGGGAAGGAGGAGGGAAGGAAGGAGGGAGGGAGGAAGGAAGGAAGGGAAGGGAGGGAAGGAGGGAGGAAGGAGGAGGGGGAAGGAAGGAGGGAAGGAGGGAGGAGGAGGGAGGAGGGAGGGAGGAGGAGGAAGGAAGGAAGGGAGGGAGGAGGAAGGAAGGAAGGAAGGGAGGGAGGGAGGGAGGGAGGAAGAGGGAGGGAGGGAGGGAAGGGAGGGAAGGGAGGAGGGAGGGAGGGAGGGAGGGAGGGAGGAAGGAAGGAAGGAAGGAAGGAAGGAAGGAAGGAAGGAAGGAAGGAGGGAGGGAGGAAGGAAGAGGGAAAAAGGAGGGAGGGAGGGAGGGAGGGAGGGAGGGAGGGAGGGAGGGAGGGAAGGTCATCAGGAAATAGTCTTCCAAAGTACAAGACAGGGCAAAAGATTTATACCATCTGTAGAGAAACCAAAGTATCAACATGTGAAAGAATTCTACAACAATCTCAAACACAACCTGGAAGAAAAACATTCTGTTCCTGGTTTGAAAGTCTTATTTCCTGTTTAATGGTGCTGTCCTTACTTTGAAAGCCGTTGTTCTACTGCAGAGACCTTGTTTTTGTGGCTGCCACAAACTAGATTGAATGGGTTGAGGCATGTGGATGAGAGATTCATAGAATCCTAGAGTTGGAAGAGACCTCCTGGGCCATCATCCAGTCCAACCCCATTCTGCCAAGACGCAGGAATATTGCAATCAAATCACCCCTGACAGATGGCCATCCAGCCTCTGTTTAAAAGCTTCCAAAGAAGGAGCCTCCACCACACTCCCTCCGGGGCAGAGAGTTCCACTGCTGAACGGCTCTCACAGTCAAGAAGTTCTTCCTCATGTTCAGGTGGAATCTCCTTTCTTGTAGTTTCAGTGGAAAACTATCACAAGATGTTCCTCCTGCGCAAGTTTGTGCAGGTTAATCAACTTTTCTCAACAAAAGATTGTCCCAGGCAGTGCCAGGCCATCAAATGCTAATCAAGGCGGTCAGTTGAAACATTCCCACCTAGCTCCAACCGACAAGAGTTCTTTGTCCCACCCTGGTCATTCCAGATATACAACCCAATTTTCCTAGTTCCAACAGACCTCACTACCTCTGAGGATGCAGGCAAAATGTCTGGAGAGAATGCCTCTAGAACACGGCCATATAGCCCAGAAAAACCTACAACAACCCAACTTTTCCCATGTTTTTATTATGGAGCCAATTAAGAAACAATGATATTTACTTGGAAAGTCTTTGCGTGAGGAAGATCCTGCAGCACATTTTGCTCTAGTTTTTCAATGAGTATCCCATGGAGTTTGAACCCATTCAACCAAGTTTGTGGCAGCCACCAAAACAAAGTTCCTAGAGTAGAGGAATTACTTTCAAAGCAAAGACCATACAATTAAACAGGAAATAACACTTTCAAACCAGGAACAGGTTTTTTTTTCCCAAATTTAGTTACATAGTGTAATTGGATTTTGAAAAAGGTGGCTTGTTGTGGAACAAGGATTAGGATAGTTTCTGTAGAGACCCCTTTTCCCCAGGATAATAACTCTTCCAGGAGTGGATTTCCCTCCCTAAAGGTACATTCCTCTCACTTCCTGTTGTCTCAGCCCCGTTCTTAACCAGGAGTTGTTTGCAAGTCTGATGTCTGTAACTTGGGGACTGGTGACTGGAAGGTTTACGGTACCAATGCTGGAAAATTACATTCTATCTGAAGGTCTGAAGAAATGTGCAACTTGGTTGTGGTGGAGGTTATACAGATGCATGTCTGGGTAGTTGTATGGGGTTTGTATGGGAAAACCTTTGGGTTTTCCGTTTTGTCTTTTCCTTGAACTAAAAACTATCCTTGAAATGCGAATTGCCATAGGGAGCCGCTTCTCTCTCTCCGCCAAGGACCCACCTGCTTCCGGAACTCCACTTTCTGGCGCTTTTCCTGCTCCTGCAGCTTCTTCAGCCGGGCCGTTTCCTCTGGAAGGAGAAGAGAAAGAAAGTCAGCAAACTTTCCATTGCAGGGAAACTGAGGCTGAGACAGTGTGACCCTTCTATTTGATAAAGCTGGACCTCATCCAGGTGGTTGTGGCAACTGGCTCGTAGCCAATGTTTCACTGCAGGAAGGCTATGTGTGTACATATCGGCCACATTTCTTCCTTTTTCATCCTAACTCAGGGTGCAGCCACACTATAAAACGAATGCAGTTTGGCACCACTTTAACTGGTACAGTACACTATAGTAATATTTAATACTGATATTGTGCTATGCTAATAATGTAATATATTGTATGTATATATATCTTGTAAGCTGCTCTGAGTCCCCTTCGGGGTGAGAAAGGCGGCATAAAAATGACATAAATAAATACATAAACAATGTAGGAAAAGCACAATCAAAACCCTCCCGAGAGATGGCCACCCATCCTCTGTTAAAAAGAATCCTCTAGATTCCGAGGCAGAGGAAAAGCACAATCAAAGCCCTCCTGAGAGACGGCCACCCATCCTCTGTTAATGAGTCCCTTTTGGGTGTGTGTGTGTGTGAGAAGGGCGGCATATAAATACTGTAAATAAATAAACAATGTAGGAAAAGCAGAATCAAAGCCCTCCTGAGAGATGCCCACCCATCCTCTATTAAAAAGAATCCTCTAGATTCCGAGGCAAAGCACAATCAAAGCCCTCCTGAGAGACGGCCACCCATCCTCTGTTAATGAGTCTCTTTTGTGTGTGTGTGCGTGTGTGTGTGTGAGAAGGGTGGCATATAAATGCCGTAAATAAATAAACAATGTAGGAAAAGCACAATCAAAGCCCTCCCGAGAGATGGCCACCCATCCTCTGTTAAAAAGAATCCTCTAGATTCCGAGGCAGAGGAAAAGCACAATCAAGGCCCTCCTGAGAGATGGCCACCCATCCTCTGTTAAGAAGCCTCCCCTAGACTCCGAGGCAGAGGGTTCCACTGTTAAACAGCTCTCAAATTCAGGAAGTCCTTCCTAAACAAGTTCAAATTGAACTTATATTGGTATATAAAACTGTCCTGACAGCACCATCCCAACAATATATATATATACTGTCTAGGATTCTGTTATTATTATTGTTTTTATATATATATATATATACACACACACACACATATACATACACACAGATATATAACAATATAACAATAATAACAGAATCCTAGAGTGTGTGTTTGAGTGTGTGTGTGTGTGTGTGTATATATATATATATATAGTCAGGATGGTCCTGTCAGGAGAGCTTTATATTTGTTATTGTTGTTATTCTGTTATTATTATTGTTTATATATATATATATATATATATACACACACACACACACACACAAACATACATACACATACACACAGATATATAACAATATAACAACAATAACAGAATCCTAGAGTTGGAAGAGATTTTTAAAGGTCATCCAGACCAGGCATAGGCAAACTTGGGCCTTCCCTTTAGGTGTTTTGGACTACAACTCCCACACTTCCTGGACTCAGGCCCCTTCCTTTCCCCCCTTAGCCGTGTTTTGGACTACAACCCCCACAATACCTGGCCTCAGGCCCCTTCCTTTCCCCCTCAGATGTGTTTTGGACTACAACTCCCACAATTCCTGGCCTAAGGCCTTCTTTTTCCCCCTCAGTCGTGTTTTGGACTATAACTCCCACAATTCCTGGCCTCAGGCCCCTTCCTTTTCCCCTTAAGCTGTGTTTTGGACTACAACTCCCACAATTCCTGGCCTCAGGCTCCTTCCTTTCCCCCTCAGATGTGTTTTGGACTACAACTCCCACAATTCCTGGCCTAAGGCCTTCTTTTTCCCCCTCAGTCGTGTTTTGGACTATAACTCCCACAATTCCTGGCCTCAGGCCCCTTCCTTTTCCCCTTAAACTGTGTTTTGGACTACAACTCCCACAATTCCTGGCCTCAGGCCCCTTCCTTTACCCCCCTCAGCCGTGTTTTGGACTACAACTCCCACAATTCCTGGCCTCATGCCCTTTCCTTTTCCCCCTCAGCCGCTTAAGTGGCTGAGGGGAAAAGGAAGGGGCCTGAGGCCAGGAATTGTGGGAGTTGTAGTCCAAAACACAACTTAAGGGGAAAAGGCCCAAGCTTGACCATACCTGGTCTAAACTATGGGGGAAAGGCACAACCAAAGCCTCCCCAACAGATGGCCACCTAGCTTCTGTTAAAAAGCCTCCTCTAGACCCTGAGGCAGGGCGTTCCACTGTTAAACGGCTCTCAAACTCGGGAAGTCCCCCTTAAAGGACTCTCCTGCCTTGAGGCCTAGTGTTTGGAGCAGCGGAAGTGGAGCCTGCCCTTTCTTGAGGCCTCAAAGACTATGGTGGTGGTTGTTATGGTTGTGGTGTGTTCAGGGGGCGTCGAGGGACCCCTTCCCCGGCCCACCGACCCTTCGCCCTCCGGGCCTCGCGGTCTCCCAGCCTGGGCGGAGGCTCCATGGAGCTCAGGATCGAGCCCAGCAAGTCCAGCTCCGCCATCTTGGACAGCCTCAGCGAAGCCCCGCCCACAGACCGGCGGCGGCGTCAAGCGGGGGGCGCGGTGACGTCACGGCGGCGCGCGCTCTTAAAGGGGAAGAGGCGGAAGTGTGCGGCGAGCAAGGAGGCGTGGCTTTCTCTGATTATATGAATCGGAGGCGGGAAATTCTCTCCAGTGTCTCTTAAAGGGGAGGGACTTAAAGCATATTTATTACTAGCCGTTCCCTGCCACGCTTTGCTGTGGCCCAGTCTGTGTATCTGTGCTTTGTGTGTGTATCTATTATTATATGCTAATAATATAATATATTGTATATACATATGTTTATATTACAATGTAATACAATATATTACTAATAATATATTATAATTATACATTCTACTAGCCGTCCCCTGCCACGCGTTGCTGTGGCCCTGTGTATGTGTTTTGTGTGTGTATATATGTGTATTTGCGCATATATATATATATGTGTGTGTGTGTGTTTATATGTGTACGTGCATATTGTGTATATTTGTGCACTTGTCTATATATATATATGTGTGTGTGCATGTGTATATGTATATATATATGCATGCATGTATGTGTACATGTGTATATATGTATATTTGAGTGCATGTGTGTGTATGTATATGTACATGTGTGTATGTATATGTATGTTTATTTGTGTTTGTGCATATATATGTGTGTATGTATGTGTGTATGTATATGTATGTGTTTATTTGTGTTTGTGCATATATATATATATATACGTGTGTGTATGAATGCATATGTATATGTATAGATGTATGTGGGCATGTATGTGTATATTAGTGTGTGTGCATATGTATGTATGTGTGCATGTATGTGTGCATATATGTATATTTGTGTGTGCATGTGTATATGTATGTATGTGTATATTTGTGTTTGTGCATATATATACATGTGTGTATGAATGTGTGCATGTGTATATGTATATGAGTGTATGTGTAAATGTATATATGGTGTATTTTGGGGGTTTTAAGTCTATTCCGCTAGGGTTTTGTGCGTGTGTGTGTGATGGACACTCATTGGACTGTTAGGGGTATAGTGTCCAAATGTGGTGTCAATTCCCCCAGTGGTTTTTGGGTTATGTTAATCCCACAAACGAACATTACATTTTTATTCATATAGATTACATGTAATATTGCTAATAATATTACAATATAATAGTATAGTACAATATAGTAATAATTAATACTGATATTGTGCTATGCTAATTATATATATATATATATATATATATATATATATATGTGTGTGTGTGTGTGTGTGTGTGTGTGTGTGTGTGTGTATATATATATATATCTTGTAAGTCGCTCTGAGTCCCCTTTATTTATTTATTTACATCACTTATATCCCGCCCATATCAGCCCACAGGCGACTCAGGGTGGTCTACATATCGGAACAATTCGATGCCATCAATACATACATTCAAAAGCAAAGACAATTAAGTGCATTTAAACAAAAAAGACAGTGCAATAACAATTTAAAAAGAGCTATATCCTCTCGTTCCAATCCTCATCCGTTTCATCGTCTTGGCCGTTCCTGGGTCATTCTCCATCTCAAGCTTGACTATCTATTCCGGGGTTCCGAATGCCTGCTCGAAGAGCAGTCTCTTACGAAAGGTCAGGAGGGAGGGGGCTGATCTAATATCCCTAGGCAGGGAGTTCCACAGCTGAGGGGCCACCACAGAGAAGGCCCTGTCTCTCGTCCCCGCCAAGCGTGCTTGCGAAGCAGACGGGATCGAGAGCAGGGCCTCCTCAGATGATCTTAACTTCCTGGAGGGTTCGTAGGAAGAGATGCGTTCGGATAGGTAGGCTGGGCCAGAACCGTTTAGGGCTTTATAGGCTAAAGCCAGCACTTTGAATTGGGCCCGGTAGCAAACTGGCAGCCAGTGGAGCTGGCGCAGCAGAGGAGTTGTGTGCTCCCTGAGCGCCGCTCCTGTTAGCAACCTGGCTGCTGCACGCTGAAGTTTCCAAACCATCTTCAAAGGCAGTCCCACATAGAGCGTGTTGCAGTAATCTATTTTGGATGTATCTCAGTGTGGGCCACCGTGGCCAGATCAGACTTCTCAAGGTACGGGCACAGCTGGTGCATGAGTTTTAGCTGTGCAAAAGCTCCCCTGGCCACCGCTGAAACCTGGGGTTCCAGGCTCAGCGATGAATCCAGGATCACTCCCAAGCTGCAAACCCGCGTCTTCAGGGGGAGGGCAGCATATAAATATGGCGTGAGGGCAGCATATAAATAAAATAAAATATGTGTGTTTGCGTATATATGTGTGTGTGTTTTTGCTTTCCCCCTTCTCTGTCAGAAATATTAAAAATCAAGTAGGTATTTTTACTTACAAAAACGTGAGTCAAGTACTGAAAGGGTTAAAAGGGCTTTCTCAGTGGTGGCTCCACACCTGTGGAACTCACTCCCGGGGGAAATCAGGGCAGCACCATCCCTCCTCGCTTTCAGGAGAAGGGTGAAGACGTGGTTATGGGACCAGGCCTTTGGGCACTCCGGCGATTAAATCAGACAATCAGGCGAGTAAGACCAGTAGGATTGATGAAGTGGAACGTAAAACTAGATCTATGAGTTAGCGAACGCTGACCAGGTAAAAGGAGAAATTGGGTTTGTATTGATTTTATAATGTATTAATTGTTGTTAACTGTGTTCTGATGTAATTTTGTGTATTTTGTGTATGATTGTTTTATGACGCAGGCATCGAATTGTGCCTTTGCTTTTGTAAGCCGCCCTGAGTCCCCCTCCGGGGTGAGAAGGGCGGGGTATAAGAACCCCAAATAAATAAATAATAAATAAATGGATGCAATGACTCCACAAAAGCTGCTGTTCAATATAAGCAGGTGTGCCTGTAGCTTAGTAGTGTCCGTCTGTGAAAGGTCTCTGTGGGAGAAGGGCCTCAGTGTGTTAGTAGGCCTGTCTGAGAGAACCCTCAGTGTGAGAAGGCCTCAGGGTGATAGTATGATTGCTGGGTCCGGAAGCTCCAAGAGTTACGCACATTCCGCAACGGCGGTTGTGAATAAGGGAAGGGACCGCATGATCCAGAGAGAAAGGAGGGGAGGGTTAGGATAAGGGTTGGGATTACGAATAGGGTTAGCGGTTAGGGTAAGGTTTAGGGTTCAGGTAAGGGTTAGGGTTTAATCATTCAAGAACTCTTACTTTCCTTCTATAATAGCCGTGTTCCGTTCTGCGTTGCGCAAACAGTGCTCCCGAAGGAACGAAGCGGAAACAGCGTAACGTTTGGAGCTTCCAGACTCAGCTTTCATATTATTAGTGTGAGGTAGGTCTCAGTGTGACTAGGCCTGAGGTGTGAGAAGGTCTGGTGAGGAAAGCCCCAGGTTGAGGCCCATCGCATGTGAAGCTTCAGCATGAAGGCTGCTGCGTGTAAAGCTCCTGTGTAAGTTCAGTGTGAGTGGAGGCGCTGTGAGAGCGAAGCTGCTTATCTGCATGAGAAAGAAGCCCAGCGTGGAAGCAAAGAAGGAAGTCTACGGAACTTTGGGTTATGGAAACCTTGGCCGTTTCTGTTTGTGTGTATATACATGACATTTTTATTAACTAGCCGTCCCCTGCCACGTGTTGCTGTGGCCCAGCTTGTGTATGTGTTTTGTGTGTGTATATATTTGTGTATATATGTGTGTGTTTGTGTATCTATATAAATAAAAATGTAATGTTCGTTTGTGGGATTAACACAACTCAAAAACCACTGGATGAATTGACACCAAATTTGGACACAAGACACCTAACAACCCAATGTATGTCCTTCACTCATAAAAACACAGCAAAACGCAGCAGAAGGGCCTAAAGCGAAATTACAAAAAGCGAAATGGCAATACAGAAAAAAGGAAGAAAGAGGGAGGGAAGGGGAGAAAAGAAAGAAAGAAAGAAAGAAAGAAAGAAAGGAAGGAAGGAAGGAAGGAAGGAAGGAAGGAAGAAAGAAAGAAAGAAAGAAAGAAAGAAAGAAAGAAAGAAAGAAAGAAAGAAAGAAAGAAAGAAAGAAAGAAAGAAAGAAAGAAAGGAAAGAGGGAGAGAAAGAAAGAAGGAAAGGGAGAAGGAAGCCTGGAAGCAAAGAGAGAAGGAAGGAAAGAGGTAGAGAAGGAAGAAAGGAGAGAAGGAGGGAGGGAAAGAAGAAGGGGAAGGAAAGAATGTTAGAGAAGGAAGGAGAGAAGGAAAGAAAAAAGGGAAAGAAGGAAGGGGTGAAGATGTAAAGAGAAACGGAAGGAAAGAGAGAAGGAAGAAAAGAGAGACAGCAGAAGAGAAAGAAAAGGGAGGAAGGAAAGAGAGAAGGAAGAAGAGAAGGAAAGAAAGAGGGAGTGAAGGGAGGGAAAGGAGAGAAAGACGGAAGGTTGGCCACAGCAACACTTGGTGGGTACAGCTAGTATATATATATATATGTGTGTGTGTGTATGGCTTTGCACATGTGTTGTAATGCATTTTTTATTTTACTTTTTTGGTTTTTTAAGTCTCTTCTGCTGTGTTTTTCAGTATTAGGAGTGACGGTCACTCGTTGGCCTGATGGGTGCATTGTGTCCAAATTTGGTGTCAATTCGTCCAGTGGTTTTTATGTTACTCCCACAAACGAACATTACATTTGTATAGCTTAATTAATGGTACATTTATTAATAATAATTATTATATGATTAAATTTATTATAGTAAATTTATTATAAAAATATTATTTTAAAATATATTAACAAACTAATTATTATTACCAGGCACCTGGGAATGCTTTATTATTAATAATAATGAACTAATTGTGTTATTTTAATTATTTTTATTCGATGGAGCCTTTCTATGGAAAGATGGAAAAATGTAAAAGATGGGGAAAGCCTTTACCTGTGTTTATGTATTGTTTGTCCTTGTTAATTGTACAACGGCATTGAGATGCGGAGGATCTATGTTTTTATATTATTATGGGCATCGAATCGTGCCATTTTGTAAACCACCATGAGTCGCCCTCAGGCTAAGAATGGCAGTATAGAAATATAGTAAATAAAGATATCTAGTAAATTTATTATAAAAAATATGATT